GACCACCCCTCGATCGATTTATATGTGCAAGACCCCGAGAGTGGCTGGAACGCTCTTCATCGAGCACTCTACTGTGGAAATATCGCCATTGCACGTCTACTGCTTGAACGAGAGCGCAAGATCCTTACAGAGCAAACCCTCGGAGTCTCGGTCTCCAAGGTTGGGCAGTTGATCAAGACGAAAGACCGCGAGGGCAACAGTCCTTTTGATCTCTACAACTCAACCATTGCTGTGCGAACACTGGGAGACTCTGGGGACCCCAACGACTCTGACGTCGACTCGGATACAGACAGCACCTCAGATGGAGGCCAGGCATTGATGAGATCAGTCGCTGCACTTGATGGCGCAGCGGAAGGCGAGGAAATCTTTGTTTTTGGAAGCAACCGCAACATCTCACTTGGTGTGGGCGACGAAGACGACCGGCAGTATCCCGAGAGGATCAACCTAAAGCGGCCGGATCAACTCATCCGCAGATTCTACCAAGAGTACTTGGAGAAGACCAAAGCTGTGTCTCATGGTGCCAGCCTGCCGGAAGAAGATGTGGAGCTGGAAGAGATTCCAGCCCTCATCCGCAATCGGCCTCTGCGGATTCACGATGCTGTTCTCTCAAAGTTGCATACCGCCATCTTGACAACTGACCCGGTTTCGAACTTGTACATCTGCGGTGTTGGCCGAGGCGGGCGACTTGGGTTAGGCGACGAAAATACCCAATACCGCTTCGTGCCGGTACAAGGCGGTCTCGCCGACAAGAAGGTAGTGCAAGTTGCACTTGGTCAGAACCACACTCTGGCTGTCACAGATGCTGGAGAGCTATGGACCTGGGGCTCCAACAGCAACTCCCAGCTAGGATATGGCTTGCCGCCGCCAGCCAGACAAGACGAAGAACCGATGAGCACCACCCCACGACAAGTGTTTGGGACACTCAAGAAGGAGGTCATTCTGGGAATCGCAGCATCGGCCGTGCATTCAGTCGCCCATACCTCCTCGTCACTGTTTTGCTGGGGTAAAAACCTCGGCCAGCTGGCGCTGATGGATGCGGATTCGAGATCCTTGGAAGTCCAACAAACTCCCCGAAAAGTCGCAGCTTCGCTCTTCTCTTCGCCCATCGCCGCAGTCTCCGCCGTAGATAAAGCGACCACCGTCTTGCTGGCCGACAGCACCGTCTGCGTCTTTACGAGCTACGGTTATAACTTTGTCAAGTTTCCTTCCCCTGACGTCTTTGTAAATCACCAGTTCACCGCATCAATGTCGACAAGGTACAGTACAGCACGGAATCAGGTCAGCCGCATCACATCCGGCGGCGAAACGATTGCGGCTGTCACTACGAGGGGTGATCTCTTCACTATGGCACTGATCCACAAGTCGGATGCGACTACGACGGCAACTTCCACAACAAATCCAGCCAAGATCAAGGGTGCCGTCACGACACCGCAATGCGTGTGGAATGCTCGGAAGGATGGTGTCAAGTCCGTCAGTGTTGGTGAACACGGCGCTGTGATCATCTGCACAGAGTCTGGAGCCGTTTGGCGTCGTATCAAGCGCGCTAAAGCGAAGGATGCTGCCACCCCGGGGTCAGCAGACATCAAGAGAAAGGATTTCAAGTTCCAGCGTGTACCGAGTATCACCAATGCTGTTGCTGTGCGGAGCTCCACGTTTGGTGCATTCGCGGCAATTCGCAAGGATTGTGATGTCATGAAGGAACAAATCAGCATCAACGAGCAGTCGCTCTGGGAGGACTTTGCCTCCCTGTTCGCACTACGAGAGTTTCAGGCATCGAGGCCCAATCCCGGCGACAAGGACACGATCAGTTTCTGGAAAGCCGAGGAACTGAAGTATCGGATAGGGGAGCTGCCGTACGAACTCCTAAAGTCCGTGGATCTGGAGCGTGACTTACGACAATTTCTCCTGATGTACCCGAACTCGGACGTTGACATGGAGATCCGCACCTCGTCATATCCAGATGTCAAGATACCGGTGCACTCATGGATCTTGACTGCCCGAAGCTCTGTTCTGCGAAGTTTGCTCAGCGACTATCGCAATGGTGGTCAGGGGGACATCCCGCAAGTGCTAAGTCTCGAAGAGGGAGATGGGAGGACGATAATCACCCTCGAATCGGTCGACCTGCTGTCTATAGTGAACCTGGCCGTCTATCTTTATGATGACACCGTCGTCCCGGCATGGAACCACACTCGCCAAGCACCCGCTCTAGCCCACAGGTATCGCCAGGTTCGGAATGAGCTGATGAAGCTTGCGACGAAGCTTGACATGATGAAGCTGGAGTCGGCTGTCCGTCTGCAGACGACTGCGGAAAAGTCCCTGGACAAGGACTTTGCCAAAGCCATTCAGGACCTCAGGTACTTTGAAGACGCGGATGCTCTTGTTGAGCTCGACGGCGAAGAGGTACCGGTTCACAGCCAGTTGTTGCGCCAGAGATGCGAGTTCTTCGAAGGCCTGTTCCATGGGCGAGCCGGCGGCATGTGGCTTGCTGGCCGTCGCGATGAACTAGACGAGGAAGAACTTGTCCGGGTGGACCTGAGTCATTGTGATCCTGAGGCGTTCCAATATGTCTTACGATACCTCTACGCAGACGTTGGGACGGAACTCTTCAACCAGACCACATCAGCCAATATTGACGATTTCTCTGACCTGGTAATGAGCGTCATGAGTATTGCAAACGAACTCATGCTAGACCGGTTGTCCCAGATCTGCCAATACGTAATTGCACGTTTCGCCAATACTCGAAACATCGCTCTGCTGCTCAACGAGATCAGCGCATGCTCTATTACGGAGTTCAAAGACGCGGGGCTGGAGTACATTTGTCTGCAAATGGAGGCTGTGCTGGAAAACCACTTTTTGGATGGCTTGGAGGAGGATCTCCTAGAGGAGTTGGATAACGTCGTCCGAGAAAATCAGCTAGCTCGCTATCCTTTCGCCAGAAGTGGACGGGCCGAGCTGCTCTTGTTTGAAAAGGACCCCGATCTGGCTCTCGATATTGACGAGGAACGCCGTCGGAGAGTGCGCGAGATGGCTTTCCGGACTACGCAACGAGACGACGAAAAGAAGATTTCATCATCCTTCAAGACCAAATTCGGCAGCCTTGAAGACTTGTCCGGCGTTACCTCTCCCAGTTTGGACAAATCTCGGCGCAAGTCTAAGACTGGCCGCAACGAGCCGTTCAGTCCCAGCCTCAGACCCAAGGAATCCCATGCCGATTTGATGTTCAACATGGATGACGAGGGACCTTCCGCTCTAGGTAGCCCTACAGTATCACCCACGCAAAGGGCTGCTGAGGCAAAGAGCCAGTCCGAATTGGACCGGATTCCGTCGTTGTCTAGTCCCTGGAAAGACACCAAGGTCCAGGCAGGCTCGCCGCAATACCCAGTGCAAAGCCCCCCGATGGGTACATCCGCCAACCTCGGCATGAGCCCTTCGCCGGCAGACTCACGTGGGCCGACTGCCCAAAGATCTGGCAGCCCGTGGGCGGCAGCGGCATTCCCAACCCAAAAGATGGACCTGCGTCGAGTTCTGACGGAGACGCCAACAAAGTCCGCCTTGTCCGCTGGCATTGCCGCGCAAAAGAGCAAGGAGGCTTCGCCCAAGCTCGCGCAGCCCAAGGTATCGCAAAAGGAGCGAAAGAAGCAACAGCTAGCCCAGGCCGCTGCTCAGGCAGCTCTCGAGGCTGAGGTGTCACAGCCGAAAGCAGCCTGGGACAAGGACGCAGCTGGCAACAAACCTGCCCCCTGGAAGCCTGTCACGAGCGGGCCCAAGACGTCGTTGAAAGATACCCTGGCCAAGGGCATGGCTAAACCAGCATCACCGCCAGTGGACAGCCCAACTTCAAAGCCGCTGCTCTCAGTCGAGAGCTCTGCGAGATCTTCACCGCGGAGGGCAGCTTCGCCGGACACGCGGTTCCCGGGCCAATCCCGCGTCAGCAGCTCCTCCCCAGCCGTGGCCGGCGCCTCGACAAGTCAACCCGCGTCGTCGAAGCCGCTGGTCCCGCACTCCAAATCTTACATTACACCCGCGAACAAGGCCGAGCCCATTTTGGGATTGAGTATGGCAGACATCATCGGCCAGCAGAAGCGGGAACAAGAGATTGTCAAGGAAGCTGTGGCGAAGAGGTCGATGCAGGAGATCCAGCAGGAGCAGGAGTTCCAGGAGTGGTGGGACCAGGAGACGCGGCGGGTGCAGGAGCAGGAGGCGAGGCGGGAGACCAAGGATAAGACGGCGAGGGAGGGTAGGGCGCAGAAGGACGGCGCCGGCGGAGGCGGCAGCAGCAGCAAACGAGGGCGTCGGGGCCGGGGCGTCGCCAAGGGCAAAGCATCTGGCGGCGCTCCTCCGGGTCAAGAACACGGCGCCGCCGCCGCCAGCAACGCCGGTAACGTCGATGCCGGAGGGGCACCACCGGCCAAGGCGCCCGGTGGCCCGGCGAATAACCCCCGAGGGCGTGGTCACCGTAACCGGGGGAGAGGTGGGAAAGCATCGGCATCCGCAGCGGCATCTACATTGTGATTTTTTGCGTCTTGTTTACAACTGATTTTCTAGGGCGTTTCAAGGTGTCACGGAGCCCGACGAAAAAACCTCGAGGCATGGTTTTACATTTGGGAAACACGGGAATTGGGTTTTCTATTTTACACGAGCATTGGCGGACACCAACGTTGTGTGGTTACCAAATGTTATGAAATTGCTTTTTCGCTTGGTCACAATAGACGAAATGAGAAGACAGACAGACGGAAAGAGAAAGAAACTTCTTCACTCCTACATGTTGCACCCACTGCCGCCGACCGCTTCTCAAAGATTTTGACAAGACTTGCACGATTCAGGTTCTCGTTCACCGTTGAGCGCTAAGGCATTGGCTTGGTAACGGACTTGTCCTTTTGCTAGATGGGAGGTGATGCCATGTGACCGGTGGGGGAGGCAGAAACGTTGCCAAGAACGGTATACTTGGAGCTACCTACTAAGCAAGAAGCAGAAGGCCCTCTTCCTCCGCAGCGGCGATTTTACCACGATGCCGTGCCCGCTTTCTCCTCCGATGTACAGGTCTCACAGAGCGTATCTATACGCAAGTGTAAAAGGGGGAGGAAACGTGTGGTACTTTCGGGAGATGGGTCCGATCTGCAGACGCCGGTTCGGATGCAGCGTGCCACTGCGCCAGAACCACAGTCACCATGAGTTGCGTGGTGTGTGATGCGTTGTGGTGCGCGGTTGACTTGCCTTACGTTGAACGGGTGCGGGGGAGAGGAGTGGAGCCCGGGCCGGAGCATGGTCTTATCGTTATCTGCAGATATCACGAGTCGGGTGGCAGTGGCACTGATAATGCTAATGGCAACTAACCTGAAGCACCAAAGACGATGGTGGTGATGCTGATAAGGGGGCTGGCTGCCAGGCTGGCTGATGGATGTGCAGGTTGCTAGTTCATTGGCGATCGGTGCGATGACTCGTTTGCCCGGGGAAAGGTTGCTTGCTGCTTGGCTGCTCGATTTGGGATTGCCGCACATGCCGCCAGGGGTGGGATCACGACAACATTGACAGGCAACGAAGCGGCAAGCCAGATGGAGTAGGTCCTTGGGGGTTTGCCTTGCCACGCTTACCTACCTTGGTATATGGGCGAGAGATCGGTTTCTCGGACAGTGCCGTTTAGAGGAGCTGCTGGAGGCTAGATCCGGCGCATTACAAAGTTGCCGCCCGTGGAGAGACGACGATAAGAGAGGCGGGTATTCTGTCGGTCCTGAGTCTGTAAAACAGGATTGGGGGTTCCCAAAGAAAAGAAAGGAAGACGAGCTGAGCGCTATGGTGACGGGAGAAGGATTCCCGGGATCAACCGAGGACCGGGTGAGTCGAGTGCCTACGTTAGTGTTAGTGTCGACTACCGGCGTACAAGCCTGCGTACCTTGGACCCTGCCATCTATCCGCCTTTTCAAAAGTGTCTTTGCTCATCGTGGACTCGGGCGAGAGAAACATCGGCGACCTTGTTGACCTCGACGTTCACTTGATGGACGCAAGGGACATGGTGATGAATCGAAATGATGATGGCGCTGGGATGACCCGGCGTCGATGCCAGCTGTCAGCGAGCACCAGTATGTATTTGGATCCAACCCCAATTCTTCGCATTGCAGGGTCTGTGGGAAAGCCTGCGGTACTCCGTACAAGTCAACAAATCAACAAGCAAACACCGCTGCGGCCGAGAGAAGCGGCCCTGAAGCAAGGCAGAGAAGAGCAGGGACAAGCGAGACTGGTGCGACTGGTAACAGAAAGTCAACGAGGCACAAGTTGGCCGAGGCAAGGGAAGAGTGAAAGTGGAAGTGACTTAGCAGAGCCGCCCGCCACCCCTTACCTACCCCGTCATTTCTGCCCCAGAACCCAGCGGTCATGCATGGGGTGGAGTTGAGGCCATTCTGAGGTCCGGGCTTGGTACGGAGTAGGGTCGCGGCGCTGCCTATTCCCCATCCAGGGCATTTTTGCATATTGGAGGCGGCGACCCGGAGGACTTCCAGGACTCAAGCGTCAAAGATGTGAGAGCCAATCCCCGTTGATTTGATTGCCTGACCTCTCCGTATCGGGGCAAGTGTCTGTATGACTACGAGGTGCAGTCCCGGGCGCGCCCCATACATGATACATGCAGCTGGCGATGGGCTTGCTCAAGTTGGCGAGTGGCAGCCTAGAGGAAGAACTTGGAAGAAGTTGAGCCTCGAAGTCTAGGTTGGGGTTGGTTGACCGCCGTCGACCGTTGGAGTTAGAGTTAGAGTCTAAGTACCTTGTTATCGAAGAAAGTTAATTCTTTCTAAGTCATAAGTATAAGAATATAGTTTTAATAAAATAATATAGTACCTACCTAGTACTTAAATTAAGATACTTTTTTAAGCTTATTATAAAAAAAGATAATTATATTACTAACTACTTATTATTAAAGTTTATAAGTAGCGCTATAACTTTAATTATTATAGTTTTAATTATTATAATTTTAATTATAATAGCTTTATTTATAATAAGTAAAAAGTCTAATTATAAGTCCTTTAAAAGCCTCTCTTTAAGAGCTATAAAAGCTTCTAAATTAAGTTAAAATACTTATTAAAATATTAATAACTAAACTAACCTTATAATAATAATTTTAATAAAAGACTTAGTAAATAATACTAAAAACTTTACTAATATTAAGTACGATTTATAAAACGTAATAACGTAGCTATAAAGTATTACTAATATATTTTATATTAAAAAAAGTATTATTAATATTAATAAAACGAATAGGGCTATATTAATATAATACCTCGGCTTCTTTTTATAATTTAAAAATAATTACTTTAAATAGTATTAAAAATTTATTAAAAAGCTCTCTTAAGTATTTTAATATATTTATTATTATTTTTATAATAATAAAACTCCTAGCGCTTATATATAAGAGTAAATTATTTATTTTTAAATAATAATATTAGCTTATTAATAAGCTATTGAAACTGCGATTTTAGCGATTCCTTAATAAGGGAGAGGGTAAAATAGAAAAAAAGATAAGTAAGAAAAGGGTTAAGGTTAAATAGTGCGGAATTCGAGGGCAGGGTAGCGTCTATATATACTGCGGTAATCCTCTAGTAATGCAAAACGATGGAGTTAAATAGTGTGGAGTTGGAGTTAGAGATGGAGTCATGTCGATTTGAGGATGATGGTGGTGACTCTGACTCGGAAGGCAATCCGTGCCACCCCTCAGCCTCTTTCTTTTTCGTCTTCCTTTCTTCTTTTCTGCATTTTTGGGTCTTCTTTGTTGACATCTCTCGACGCGGTATGTCGATATCCTCAGGTCAGCTGGGGGTAATCAATCGAGCCCAGGGAAGCAACACAAAGACTCTTGGTGATTGAGTGAGGAGCATGCAGGAGGCATTTCAAGAGACAAAAGTGGAAGAATGGGAGTCTTCACCCCACGGCCGCCGTCACACAATGGGAAGGCCGGTGCTACTATGCATCTTGACGAACGAAAGGTGCAAGTACAACCAGGAAGCAAGAGCAAGGCATGGTACTTTGACCATGTACTTCCCGTCGTTCGTACTTTGGAGAACATCAGGGTGCTTCCACTGTACCTATGTCACTATGTCTCTACGTACTTGGTCCACCTGCGATCGTGCCTGAGGAAATGGAAAGCAACACACTCACAACTTCACAACTCCAACAACGCTCATCATCAGTCAATACAAGACAGCAATTCACACAACAACAACACCAACTGATCTTGTCCTGCGGTGCTACACTACAAACAATAACACCTGCAGCAACTTCAAACCCCAGCTCTGTTCCGTCCCGTCCCATCCCATCCCATCCTGTTCCAGTCAACCTAACGGAACGATGCATGCACGGGTGTGTCTTGGTCCACCGCCCATCACAGATGCAGCCCCATCGAGCCCATCCATGCTCCCCCTGTTGCTGCTCCATGCCCCTCCCCCCCCCCCCCCCCCCCCCCCCCCCCCCCCCCCCCCCCCCCCCCCGCCTCCCCCCCCCCCCCGGCCCCCCCCCCCCGCCGGCCCCCCCCCACCCCCCCCCCCCGCCCCCCCCCTTTCCGCCCCCCCCCCCCCCCCCCCCCCCCCCCCCCCATGCCGCGGCTACTGGCTGCTGTTGGGCCTGCACGGCCTGGTACTTCTCCCACGGATACTTCCACTGTCCAGGCTGTTAGCAGCACCTCATGCCGGGGCGGATGCGCTGCCGCTGCAGGACCCAGACCAGCCGGTGCCAGCTCCTCTCCTGCCCCCTACCTCTACCCTAGGTAGGTACCCTGTCACTCCTTTCTCTGTGAGCCTCTGTCCCCATCACTGAGGTGAGGTGGTGAGTCTCTCCAAGTCACTACCAAGCTCTGTATCTATACCTACACGCAGTCACTTTGTTGTGTGCTTATCCACACACTCAGACAGCTCCGACGAGAGATCCATGTCATCGGCTGCTCAGCGTCCTCCCTTCCCATCTCTCTTCCATCATCCTCTGCCTCCTGTACCTTACCTCCAAATCTACTCTATTACCTCTCGCCCTCCCTCGTCTGGTGTCTCTCTTCCTAAATTACCCAGCAATTGCTCAGACAACAATCCCTTTGTCTTTGCTTACCTCAACGTACCCCATTATCTACTTCTTCTTGTCCTCTTTGCATCATCACCTCTGGCCCTTGCGCCTTATCGCCCTTGGCCCCCATTCTGACAACGCTAAATCTCCATTCTGCTCTCCAAAGTACTCACCACAATCTTTCCCCCATCATCACTCTTCTACACTTTCCCTCGCTCTCTTCAAGTCAGCATATCCCGTCTGATCTTTCTGCTGTGCCTGTTTCTTCTTCTGTGCCATCCTTAGCCTTCCCTGCCCTCTTCCCTAGGTACGAACGCATCGACAAGTATACAACGCTTTACTTGCTTGCCTGAATCACAGTCCATTCTGCTGGCCCACCCAGGTGACTCGATGACGGAAGGGTACTTGTCGACGATCACGAGGCTCAACAACCATTGAGCGGATGACACCAGCGCCGATAACCTCCGACTCGACCACCACCGCACCGCAACTCCGCACATCGCCGTCCATTCTTCTCTGAACTCCTCCGTCCTTCTTGGAATTCGGATAACCACACCAGCCGCGCATTTTGGAGCGGCTCTTTTGCGTTGCTGTTGGAGGACCTGCTTAGGAAGTCGCTTTCCCTGCTTGGCGAAAGCTTCCCCTCTGTCACCACAGCTTCTCGTTTCGACTTTCCTGCTCTGTACCGCACGCAACCGAGAGCCATGGTCCAAGGCAGCGCTTAGCTTGTCCATTTCGCCCTCGCCCTCGCCCTCGCCCTCGTTCTACGGTTCTGCAGTCATCCAGCTCGGCTCCGTAACGCCCTTGGCCTGCTTGTGCGATATCGCTTCTCACCATTCGCCGCCCGTCTCCACGTTGGCTTAGTCGCCTTGCCCGTCGTCGCCTGCCTCATTTGCGCGCCGTTCCAAAAGGGTATTGCAACAACTACTTTCTCTCCGCCCGCCCTACGAGTTCTCCTCCCCCGACCGGCCGATTCTCCCCTCGCTGTGCGCTCAACGACCGAGGGTATCGAGGTGTTTCGCTCCCCTTTGCAGTTGTCATGAAGGATGGATGAGCAAGTTCGGTACCACCCCAACTTCGATATCGCGAATACCCTCTCCCCCGCCGCCTAGAACTTCCACGAATTCGCAACACACAGCTCGTCCTTGTCTTCCCAAAGCTTAGCCTACCACGGCGGCTTTTCAGATCAATCTTGTCCTAGACTTGCCCTTGGGGCCGCAATCTGCCAGACAAGATGCATCAGCAAGCTCGACCCGCCCCACGGGTCTCTTCCCCCGCTTCTGCGCCCCAGACGAATCCCACAAGAACGAACAACCCGAGAGAAGGAATGCTTGGTACACGCGAAAGGGCTAGCTCGGGAGCGTCTGGTCGCGATTCTGCCGCAGCGTCACCCACCATTGAGACGCCACCAGGTTCCGTTTCGGCAGATGCCGTCAAGAAGTTGGATCAGATAATTCAGGTGTGTACTACGAGACAGAGGTCAAAAGGTGCCATAGCCAAGATCCGCCACTAATTTGAGCGCAGAACTTCCACACCAAAGCCGCATCACTGGTGTTGCAATCACGTTTGAACCTGAAGCCCATATATGCGGCTCGTGGCTCTGGGAACAAGAAGCTGAACAAATGGGTGAGTGCTTGCTCGTTTTCAACCTCTGGTATCGCTTGCAGAGCTGGGTACTGACGCCTGTGCCTCCTTAGTTTCAAATTGAGACGGAAGAATTCGACGACTTCAAAGAGGAGCTTCGTATTTGGCGTAACTGCGGTAGCTTCGAGAACAAGCCTATGCCCCTCATCATCGAAACCTATCTCGATACATCACGTTTAACCCCTAGTCAGAGCCTGGTCATTGTGGACGAAAATGGTAAAAGATGGGACGTGATGGAAGCTCTCAACTCATCCGATTCGAGCGACGACGGCCGCTCTCTGCCCACAAAGAGAAACACGGAGGTGATACTCGAAAGATGGCGCATTGAACTCAAGACATTTCCCACATCCGACCCGGACGACTTTGGCCCAATATTGCCAACCATCTACAAAAAGAGCATCGTCTTCTTTCGGTCTCTCTTCGTTGCAACCAGGATTCTTCCCGCCTGGAAGTTCTCTCAAGCATCTGCAACAAAAGGCGTCCATCCTTCATTAGAACCCCGTTGCCGTGTCCGAACCGGCGAACTGGACACCGGCGGCATCGACCGGCTTAGGCATCCGTTGTACGATGGTCGCCCGGATGTCGTAACTGATTACGTTTTTGGCGACTTGGAGGTACCGGTTGGTCGCTTCTATGCATCAGTCACTTATAGAAATGAGTGTAACTTCAGAGTGGACGACTCAGAGGCGTTGCTAAGCTCACGATTCATGGGCGTCGATGAGAACTTCTTCAAGCCATCGCTGCCCCAGCGGACATCAAGCACCCGACGAAACGACCCCGAGGTGGGTTCTCTTCCGTCTCACAGAAGGAGCAGGACTCTTGCAGATATGCACCAGACATACGGCAGTCTCTCAACCTTTCACGGGGAGGGAGCCTTGGGCACTAGCCCTATATCAGCTCTCAAGGCTGTGAAGCCCCCTGGATCTGACACGAGCTCTCCGCCTGGGTCTGCTCCCACGAGCAATGAGCTGAACCCACCAAATTCATTACCCGTCACCGGCCTCGCAACAAGGCCCTCAATGAAGGGCTTCAGCAGCAGTGGCCGACGTCCGTCCGTCTCTTTCCAGCCATTCAAGGCTGGGTCACTGTCTGGATCCCCCGTGCCTCGAACTCTCGATTCCGAATCTCCCGCATCTCCCATCTCACGCGCGGCGGCACTTAATGCTCTTACACAACCTCGCAATCGGACGTCACTGACAGCAGGAATGCCTGCCACCCTACGAGGTGGCCCTCCACCGGCCGAAACAGCCGTAGTAGGCTCGCCCCGGCCGTCTTCGACAAGTCGGTACAGCAGCAGTTTTACTCATCGCAAAGGACGGTTATCATTTGGCGGCGCTAGCAAAGCCGGCGATGATGAGCAAGGAAGCAGCGGTCGACAAAGCCTATCCTCGTCAGTGGCTCAGCCAGGATCAGGTCTCCTAGCAGAAGCGAGTGCAGGCGGCAGCTCCGGATCGCTCCAAACAGATGACGATCAGATCTCGGAATTCTTGAAGGCGCTGGATAGCAAGAAGACGCTCAAGAGCTTCGAGTCAGGCAAGAAGGGCGAGGGCGCGACGAATCGGACAGTCGCACAGCTTTCGAGGTTTCACCTCATGAAGGAGTCGAACCAGGCGCTGACAGACTCAATGACTTCGTCGATGCAAATGCAGCGCTCCTCAAGCTCATCCAGTCGGCAGCTGTCCAACGTGCCAAGCATGGCCGCGCCAGCGTCAGTATCCGTTTCCTCCTCGCCCGGAAAGCCTCTCTCTCCTCACACCCCTCATACGCCTGCTGTCCCCTCACGATTGAGCGAGAACTCGATCATCAACTACAACACAAGCCAGCCGCGAAGCGACCGCACCAATCCCAGTGCAGAGAACACACAGATGCCTAGAGAGGACACCATCACCCAGGATGGGACCACTGCCATTGACATACCCATCTCTCCCAGAATCGGCACCCACCCTAGACGGTCTAGCTCGGTGGCACAGCAGAACCGGGCCATGGCCGACGATGAAGACGGGGATCTAGCCTTCGCCGCCAATCGCAGCATCAGCTTGGGGGCAGAGGATCGCGAGCCGCCCACGCTCAGCATGCTGCTGGGAAGACAGACTGAAGCTGAGTCTGCGTCTCGCCGAGCAGCGGGCTCGCTGCAGCCGACAGCAGACATCCCGTCCTCAGGTTCGGCAGAGATGATGAGGCAGGGTTCATCAGAAGGATCCAAACCCCCAGGTGGATTGATGGCAGTCGCGCCATCCAGTTCGCCATTTGGCAGGCGTCGTTACGCTGGCATGGCATCCACGGGAGGACGAGGCCAGACGCCTCCCCAGTCCTCCAGGGGAAGCTTCACGGGGTCCATTGGACGGTACGGACGCGGCGAGAATGACTTGATGGATGAAGAGCCGCTCCTTTTCGATATGTCAGAAATGGATGCGCAATCGAGGAGAAGTCTGGAGGAGGGCCGAGGTGGTGGCAACATTGGTTCTGGATCTGGCAGTCGAGCCGACTTTGAACCTCGCGGGATCAGTCGAAGGGGATGGTGAGCAAGGTGCCCTCAGTGGTGACGAGGGACGGCTTCACAAGGATATTGCTGAAGGTAGTCAGGAAGCGCATCAGGCCCATCTATTTCACTGGGTTATACTTGGGACTGAATGACACGAGCGCTTTTTTTTTCTTTCTGTTTTTTTTTTCATAGGCCTACAAGGCTCAGGAGGACCTGAGGACAGGGTCCGGCAGAAAGGTATCATCGAAACGGTCTTTCATTTTTACTTCTCTTCTCCCGTATTCAAGACATACATCAACGGGTTGGAGAGATGGGTTCATGGCGTTGGATGGAATCGGAGTGGCCAAGACAATTCCCAGTGCCGGCAGAGACGGCGGGGAGCACCTTGGGGAACCAAGGACATAGTACAGATACGATAGAGAATGCACAAAGACTGGCATGCATATACGCATTACTTTTGGGCCCCGAGTATGAGCTATCCGCCATCGCATGAGCTCAAGCTTAGAACTTGCAAGGGCGCAGTGACGATCCAGGGGTGCTAGACGTTCCAGATGTGGCTTGACGTCGTTGCTGGTCCCGTTGGTTGGCAGCTTGTTTCCGTGTTGGGTTCCCCGCAGGCCGTGATGGTGTGGCGCACGCAAGACTGACGTGGTGTTGTATACTAAGTATTTGGTTTCATCTCTCATGATCCTGTTTTCTGTTCTTTTGATCTAGGTATTCTGACAGCTTGATGCCTCTTGTGACGGAGAGATGTGGTCACCAAGATATGCTGTAATCTATCTCGGGGCTACGTGGTGATTGTTGGGAGGTGAAGGGTAGCGACTGCAAGTGAAGACTTGGATGATGCATGGATGTCTTAGGTAGAAGAAGAAGAGAGATATGTAGCTATTTTAGGCAGCGGGTTTGAAGATGCTTCTTTGTAGGCTAAAACGAGGCTAAGGTAAAATAAACGCAAGAAGCCGTGGGGACCGTGGTGGAGCAAGCCGAGGACGATGACCGGCCGGAGGAGGCAGGTCGCAGGACTCTCGGGCTCAGAGACGGATCAGGATCCGTTGGAATTCATGGGAGTCGAAGAAAGTCATCGTCGCAATTGGGCAGCGAAAGAGGAGGAGCCTACGGAGCAAGGTATGGAGGGCAACAAAAGAACCAAAGGCCCACGCGGTTGGTTACGCATGCTTTTGGCCGTCTCTCCTCCACACATGTGGCGGTGCATCAATTGCCCATAGGAAATGGGTACCGTTTGGAGTGTTTCCTGCCAGACCGCGGGTGGCAGAGGAGCAAGTCCGCGTAATTCATGGGCGAAACGAGCTCAGCCCCCCCTGTTAGATTTTCCTGAGGTATACTGTGTACCCATGCAGTAACTTACAGAGCTAGGCTGTGATGACGACGGGGCCTCTTTCGGGCTCTCCAAGGCGCACTTTGTTGGCGGCACCGCAGCACCACGTGAAGTATGTCACTCTCCGACTGTAATTGTATGCATTGGGTACATCCCCCGCACATCTAGAAAGCTGAAGAAGAGCAGCAGCTCACACTTGGGCTGTGGTGGACGGGACTAGGTATGGTAATTAGTGGTCCGGACCTTGTGACAGCCCATGGCGACATGGCCACCTTCCAGAGCCCAGGTGCCAGATGCCAGTTACTGCGTAGAGGTGTGCCAGGTTTCCCTGTGACCTTCTTCCCCCAAAGCCTCAAGGTAATATCCGACCTCACCTTGCCTTCCATTGCCTTCAGGTTCCATACCTTCCTTGCCTTAGCGACGGATGCAAGCTGCCGACTTTACCTTACATTAGGTAGTAGTTGCTTACTTTATTTTCCACCAGAGGTAGCAGACGACGACTGCAAGATTCTGCCGGGTGTGCCTCAGCACTTACGCACTTACGTACCCGTCACTGATTACCTCAACCTTGGCGACCTTATCCATCACCTTCCTTTCCCTCGGGTTCACGCTTCGCCTCAGCACACACCTACACACTCGCGCGACATACCCACCTCATCGAGACGTCCCTCTCCCCAAACACCCACAACCTTCAACTCCGCCGACCCAGGCTCCAAGAACCTCCAACCTACGCACGATTTGGCCAACCTTCGAGTGCACGCCTTTCACTCCGTCACACTCGCCTAATTCCGTCCTCAACATTGCCAACCATCGCATTGCATTCGCGCAGCCCGACGACGACTTGCACCTCGCCTGACGTAGTCCACCGCTTTGCCCACTCCAGGCATCTTCTTGCCACAAAGCGCACCCACAATATCTCCAAACCACTCGAAACAAGACACCTTCTTGATCTCACCCGTCACTACACAGCATCCCCAGCGGCTCACAGCTTTTGCCCAATATGTTTCGAGCTGCCGCAGCTGGTCCCTTTGACGAGGGCGTCGGTACGTGTGCAGCCTTGCGAACCAAACCCCATCGCTGGCCAACGTCGCTAACCTGCCCATCTTGCGTCATCTAGCCAAGGCCACCGACGAGAACCTGACGTCCGAAGACTGGGGAGCCATCATCGAGGTCTGCGACCGCGTAGGCAGCGATGCAAATGGTCCCAAAGAGGTTGTACAGGCAATGATCAAGCGCCTCGCCCACCGCAATGCCAATGTCCAGCTCTATACCCTCGAAGTGAGTTGCGCCCTTTCCTCCCCGGCTCGTTGCTGCCGCACCCATGCCGGTATACTGAACCTGTCGCTGACCTTGCTACTCTTCCTGCGCAATAGCTTGCGAATGCCCTCAGCCAGAACTGTGGCAAGAACATGCACCGCGAGCTCTCAAGCCGAGCCTTCACTGACGCCATGTTGAAACTCGCAAACGACCGCAATACCCATACCCAGGTCAAGGCCAAAATCCTCGAGCGCATGAAGGAGTGGTCCGACATGTTTAGCAAGGACCCCGATCTCGGCATCATGTACGACGCCTACTTCCGCCTAAAGCAGAACAACCCGACTTTGCAGGCCCCCTCGGCGCCCCAGAAGACTGGTCTGACCGACCTCGATCGCCAGAAGGAGGACGACGAGCTCCAGATGGCCTTGAAGTTATCGTTGCAAGAGGAGGAGAAGAAGAAGGCGCCTGCCGAGTCCAACGCCGGTCCATCCTCTTCTGCCACCGCCGCTGGATCCTCGACACACGCCGCTGCACAGCCTCAAGCTCACTCTACACCAGTACCTGCTGGCACGACAGCTGCCACCGTATCAAGGGTGCGAGCATTGTACGATTTCGTTCCTTCCGAGCCGGGCGAACTCGAGTTCAAGAAAGGCGATGTTATTGCAGTCCTCGAGTCGGTTTACAAGGATTGGTGGCGGGGCTCACTCAAGGGGAAGACAGGAATTTTCCCCCTCAACTATGTTGAGAAGCTCACGGATCCCACTCCTGATGAGTTGGCACGTGAGGCACAGATGGAGGCCGAGGTGTTTGCAGAGATCAAGAATGTCGAGAAGCTGCTCACACTTTTGAGCACGTCCAATACGGCGCCGAGGGAAGAGGATAACGAGGAGATATCGGTAGGTCCTACGAGTGCCACCTCAGCCCGACCCGGTACTAACGAGTCGCCAAATAGAAGCTCTACCACCAAACGTTAGCCATCAGGCCGAAGCTGATCAAGCTTATTGAGAAGTACTCCCAGAAGAAGGGTCAGAGATGCTTCACTCGCTTGTCTATGCTACTTATACTGACCAAAACATGCAGATGACTTTACACAGCTGAATGAAAAGTTCATCAAGGCTCGTCGCGACTACGAGTCTCTTTTGGAATCATCCATGTCGCATCCTCCTCAGCCTAGTTACCACCAGTATGCCATGAGACCTGGCCCCGGCGGGTACCCAGGCGGACCGGGGGCGGGCTATCCCCCTCAGGGTCCTCCTCAAGGCCCTCCCCAGGGCCCTCCCCACCAACAGCAGCAGCAGCAGCAGGAGCAGAGATACTATACTCCAGCACCCCAAGGTGAACTACCTTGATTGCCTTCTTCCAAGCGCACCAAGTTTAACTAGTTTGTACATAGAACAACCCCAATACCCTCAGTCTACGCCCTCGCCGAATTTCCAGCGTCCGGCACAGGCAACGCCTGCTCCCTTTTACGTAGCCGGTGCAGAGGTCCCCTCAGCGCCGCATCACAACCAACCGCAACAGTATCCTCCGCGTGATCAACGTATTCCATCCACAGGCAAGGCACAGGTGCCGCCGATCAACACCTCGTCACCACCGCCGGCCAACACTTACTCCGCATATTCTGTGCCTCCCAACCAAGGAAGGCCACAGAGCACTTACGGTCCCCAGGAGCTGGCAACCTCTGTCTACGACTCGCCTATTGCTACCCATAACCCGAGCTCTGCTGCGACATATACATCCTCCGTGTATTCCCAAGACGATTACAACAACGGTAGCCCCGTCGTAGGTAATTCGACTGTTCCAGCACCTTCATCCTTCCAACCATCTGCACCACCAGTCGGGCAGCCCTCACAACCACCTCAACAACCACCGCAACAACACCAGCAGCCACAGTACCAGAGTTATCAGCCACCAGGAGCTCAGGGGCAGGATAACTACGTCAGTGCCCCTACTCAGGCACCGCCGCCTGTGCCAACTGGAGCAGCTCCGCCTATCCCTGGTGCCGGTCGATCTGAAGTGATGACGCCACCGCCCCTGCAGCCTGGCGGTGCGGCCTACGATGCTAGAAACAGCCTTCCAAGCCAGGGACCATCACAGCCGCAGTACAGGGCGTATGTTCCTCCCGGTGGTGGTGCTGATGGACCGAGCGCACCGCCCGCTGCGGATTACTATCGGCAGAGTGGCGTCTACTAGACGCGGGGACTGGGCAGTAGCAAGCAGCCTTGATATTAAGTAGATGAGGTGGTCAGTTCGGTCGGAGGCCATCCTATTAGGCGGAGTACATTCAATATTTTTAATGACTTTTATTGACTGCGTCTGGGAGGTATTTTGGGCATTGACGGCCGCCCCTCGGCCATGCAAAGTTATGTTGTGTAGCAATCAGTCAATCGTATAGGTTGATTGAATTCAGGATGACGACTGTCAACTTTTTGGGAGTTCCAAGCCCGTCCAGAGGGCATCATACCCGGTATGGCGGGTAATTTGTCGATTGTGGGGAGGGAGGGAAACCACCGTAGTGAAAGTAGGAAGTAGAGAAAGGCCGAGGGAAGGGTAAATAACACTCGAATCTGTACACTACCTTGTCTCGTGGTTGGTGTAATCTTTTATCCTCCTTGTCGAATCGCTGTTCCGGTCATGCGTTGCGAAGCAAGTGAAGCAAGGAAAGGGAGTGATTTGCATCGGTGCTTGATCAAACGTATGTCGATACTCCCTTTTGTTTCTATCATCGTATCATAAGAAGAAAAAGAATCCTATAACGCCAATGGTCCTGGGCTCTGTGGATGAAGCCGCCGTCGTCGCACAACTCCTAAAACGCACACTGTCTCCTTCCCGTCATAATACGCGAAACATGTTTTCCCTTCTACTCCATAACATTGCCCACCAGGACGAGACAGGATAGAAAGTGATAAAAAAGGGGTTTCTACCAACGTCGACCAAACATCTCGTGCTCAGGCTTCTTGGCCTTCTTCTTTCCCGCAACCAAGCTGGACTCGGGAGACCCTTGCCTGCTCGTTCTCGCCGAGGTGGCCTGGGAGGCCGACGGGTCAGGATAAGAATCACCAAGGCCGATGACGGGTGCTTGGGGGGCATCGCGGCGGAACAGATCCATAATCTCCTTGAATCCGAGCTTGAAGGCGTCCTTCTTCATGCCGCCTTCAATGGCCGTCTCGGCGAGGAGTCGCTTCTTGTCCTGCAGCGCGAGAATGCGCTCCTCTACCGTGTTCTCCACGGTGAGCTTGTAGACGATGACGTCGACCGTCTGCGTGAGGCGGTGTACTCTGTCGATGGCTTGTTCCTCGACAAACTAGAAAGAGGTAGGATGATTAGCACACTGGAAGATGTATTTGTCTCGAACAAAACGCTGGGGGAGACCTACAGGATTCCAGAAAGGCTCCAGGATAATGACACGAGTCGCCGCAGTCAAGTTGAGACCCAAGCTACCGCACTTGAGACTGCAGAGAAGAATACGCGTGTTCTTGTCGTTGCGAAGACGGTCCAGACTAGCCTCGCGCTCGTCGTTCTTCATGCTGCCGTCGTACCGAGTGAACTTGAGCCCATCCTTGCGGAAGAAAGGCTCAACGAGGTCCATCATGGACGTGAATTGCGAAAAGACAATGAACTTGTGCTTGCGGGCCTCCTTGTGGAGAATCTGCATCATTTCGCGAATCTTGGCCGAGGCCAGAACCTTGGATGCCTTGCTCGCAGGATCGTAATCGGTGTCCTTGTCGGAATGCAGCTCCGACTCATCTACACCAGTGTCTTCTTCCGAATCAGTTTCGGAGTCCGAAACACGCGACTGCGAAGATCTGAGCTTCTCCTCCTTGACCTGCGATGCTATCGCTCCTATTGAGAGGAGGCTGTCGTCGGAGACGTCACTCTGGTCGCCATCCTGACCGTGCTTGTCCTCGTCATCCTTCACAACAAAGCTTCCGAGCTGGCTGTCATCGTCTTCGTCTTCGGAATCGTGCTTGGAATCATTCGCACCAATCCACTCGCCACCTCCCTCGGCATTCTCATCCTCTTCGCCGCCGGCCTTGCCCATCCGCAATTGGCCCTGCTGGTCCTCGGGTACGAGCCAGCTGCCGTCTGCCTCCTCATCATCACTATCGACGACGACGTTTCTGTTTCTGGGCCTCCTGGCCTTGGGCTTGTACGGTGTGTCTTCTTCGGCATCCCCTCCTAAGGATTTCCGCACGACCTTCTTGACACTGCTCTTCTGCTTCTTTTGTTTCCTTGACTTCGGCGTCTCGTGCTCATTGAAATACGCCAGGTCTTCGCGACACTCCTGGCAGGTGTCTTTGCCGCTATTGGCTACGTCCCGCGGCAACTCACGACCGCAGACGTCGCATTGCCTTGAGACTATGCCCATTCCGCCAAACATTTCAGCAAGAGAGTCGATGTCTCCGCGCGCGGTCTTCGGGGCGGCATCAGACAACGCTTCCCTGTCCTTTTCGAGCTTGCCTTCAAGCAGCTTTGGATGGTTACAAGCCTGCCTGAGCCGCAGGAGCAGAACCAAGGCATTAGCATAGTTGATCTTTCCCTGAAGCATTTGCTCGATGCTCTTGTCGGCTCGAGCTTCCAGTCTGGTATAGAAGCGACGCTCTGCTGGGGAAAATTTTGTGGCAATTGTGACGACCTTGCGCTCCGTGACTTTGAAGCCAGTGGTGGACTTCTCGCCTTCCTTAGTTGGCTTGCCGCCAGGGTTGAGGGCACCATCTTCCTTGAGAATTTCCTTCGTGCGTCGTTTCATGAAGCATCGCAGAAGACTGTGAAGCCGGCCGATTGCCACATGGCCCTGGCCATTCTTGAGAGGCTTCTCGATCTGCTCTTTCCATTCCTTGAGATCATCGTATGGCTTGATACGGAGGAACTTGATGAGGGACTGCAGCTCCTCCAGATTGTTCTGCATCGGGGTTCCTGACAGGCACCATCGATACTCTGAACGCAGAGCGTAACAGGCTTTTGTCGACTTGGCGTTGCGGTTCTTGATTGTATGTGCCTCGTCGAGCACAACTCGCCACCAATGGAGGCCGAAAGCGCCTGCTTTGACACCCTTCTCATCTTCTGAGGAGTGACCCCATTCAGAAACCAATACTTGATAGGTTGTAACTACGACGTCGTACAATGCGAGGTCCTTGAAATTCTTCGTGCGTTGAGGTCCATGATGAACACAAACCTTGAGCCCGTGCGACTTGGTCACCTTCTCTTTGATCTCCGCCTCCCACTGCCTGATCAAGGCAAGAGGCGCGACCACGAGCGTTGTCTTCTCGATACCGCTGAAGTGCTTCTTCCAGCCCGCTTCATCCTTGTTGGGTTTTTGGTTGCTGAGTATCAAGGAAATGGTCTGAAGAGTCTTGCCAAGACCCATGTCGTCCGCCAAAATGCCACCCTTAGGTACCTTGCCCTTCTTCACTGGGCCGAGTTCGCGACCTCGCATCCACTCCACACCTTCAACCTGGTGAGGCAGAAGCTTCACTTTGAGGCCCTCCACGGTACCGTCATTCACGGCTTCGCCTTTCTCCTTTTCTTGGCCCTCATCCCCTGATTCCATTCCGCCCTCCAGTAAAGCCTTCAGATCGGACGACGCCTTCGCAGGGTCTGTCCAGAACTCGTTTTCTCCAAAGGTTGTGGTGGGCCTAAAGGTCGAAGGGTTGGCATCGGGGCCTATGGAGCTATACAGTGTGGGTGGCTCGGGTTTCCTGTCTTGGTAGAGAGGGACTGATGGAACAGCCATCTGCTGAGATCGGTGATGCTCGGGGCGTGATCTCCTTTCGTTGAAGATACCTGTTGCCTTCTGCTTAAGAGAGGACAGAATCTTGGTAGGATGACCAAAAACAGGCTGTGACGACGAAGAATGAAATGGATCATGACGTTTGACATCCGAGAAGAATGACTCCAACGCATCGGAGTGCAGTATTGACTGCTCGTGTTGCGAGCTTGGTTCGCTCGCCTTCGGAGCTGGTCGAGGAGGCGGCTTGAAGTCGTTGCGGGATATTTCGACCAGATCAGGACTCGTTTGGCGATAGGCTGGCGGGTTGCGCCTCGCAGACGAATTCGGGATCGCTGCGGATGCTTTCGACTTCGGTGTTGTTGACAAGCGCATGGAACCGACTTGGGCGGCAAGGTCGTCGGGGTCGAATGAAGCTGAGTCCCGACTTTCAGCTCGTGAAAGCAAGTGTGCGGCACCACGGGATTCCTTACTCGGGTTGCTCGTCTTTGGAAGCTCGCGGCTAGTTGATGATTGCGAATCGTCATTAGGATTGACCGGGCGCAAAGGGCCTCTGGCCGGATTCCTTTGGTTAACCATGACTGTGTAGCGCAGCTGCGGGCTGTCTTCGTGAATATTGTCGGAATGCGGTTTTTGCCTGCAATGAGATGGGGGGAGGTCGGAGGATCTCTCAGAGGAAATTGTGTTTCTAGGCTGGAAGGAGAAATGGGCGCCTGGTTTTCTGGAGTTTCGGCGTAAAGGTGTCAGTTGGATATTGGACTCTTGGAGGGGTAAATCCAGAGAGAAAAACAGGAAAGAAGGGGGGAGAAAAACAAGCGAATGTGGGCTTTACCAACTTCATGGAAATTTCATGAGAGGGATGGATATAGTGCCAGGACTCTTAGTAGACTAGGTGGTACTCGCCCCCTTTGTAGTAGAATGGCTGATCGCGTCCAGGAAGCTCGAAATGTGTAAATGGATGCGATTGCTGGGGAAAATGCCTAATTGTGAACGGGATGTGAAAGCCGTCGGTACCGCCTACTTAGCAATGACATAACTCTCCCCAGCAACGGGCGGGCAACGAGCGCGACGCCACAATATACCTTGATTGTGGGACACCTGCTCGGGGTCTTGTGCGACAGTGCACTGCCACTATCTTAGGGACAGTGCAGAGTTCTAGCCCGCACTCCCAGCCACTTTACTTCACCGAGTCTCACCGAGACAAGTATATACCACAGTGTGCCATTACAGGCTACACCCTAGAAGGCATTGATATTCTTTCGTCTAATTTAGAAGCACTTCTATTGTCTAGATGGGGTATCAGTGTATGGATCAAAACCAACACGCTTTTTCGTCTCCGTTCGAGCCCTCAAACGCTCTTCTCCCGTGAGCCCAGTCGTCGATGATTCCTCCAAGAAGAAGTTCAGGATATGGTCGTGCATCGTGAGATGCGGTGCCTGCTGGAACTCTTGCAAACTCGTCAGTCGAATCAGCATCTCCATGAGAGACAGAGAAGTGACGACAGCATAAAATGGTGACCTCGCCGCGAACGAGTCTGAACTGTTCAGCGAATGCTTTGCCACTTCTTGCGAGAAGGGCTGCGTCGGCGTCGGCGATCTCACGCTTCTACTGAAGGGGGATGACTGCACAGATAAATTCTGGATCTGTGCCATGAGTCTCGAGTCCAGCGAAGTACGAGAGTTGCGCAAGGCTGGTCTAGGAGACCCTCTTGCCGAAGTAGGCGTTGCCCACCTTGGTAAGCTAGGCAGCTGCTCAGCAACATCTTCATCTTCCGTATCGCTGCTATCCGACTCATCCTCTTCGAAAACCTCTAGAGCGATCCATTCCGGATCTAAGTGGCTCGGAAAGCTTCTGCGAGGATGAGAAACGGGAGGCTCAGGCAATTCTTGAGGGGTGTCCAGCGCTGCGCTCTCTTCTCGAAGCTGCCTGTCAACGTCATCCTGCTCATCTATGTCTTCTGATTCACTACCGCCCTTAAAAGCTGTCGGTGAGTCCGGCTCATCCTGGAAAGACATCATTTCCTCTTGAGTCTTGAGAGGTGGCTTGGCGAGAACGTCCCGTTTCAGCAACAAGACTGGATTGTTGTCGCCGTCGTCACTGCCAATGTTGAGAATTCGGCCAGTGTCGGCGTAGAAGATCCTGGATATTTGATAGATCGGTATAGACTCACGAATACCCGCCCGCACGATATCGTCATACGGAGTGTCGTCTATTTCCAGGTCGTCATGAGCGCGCCCATCATCTAGGTCCTCAATGATTTCCAAGTGGTAAGCATACTCGTTGCGCGGGCCAAAGCCGAAAGGATTTGAACCATAAAACCTTGATTCGTCAGAGTCTTGATCTTTGGGCGCTTTCGGTCGAAAGCCTTCTTCAGAGTCGAAGACATGGTTCATAGGTGTCCGACACAGTCGTACCCTGGCTTTGTGCATGACTTCTTGCCACAATGGCTTGCGGTCCCCCTCTCCAATACCGTAAGGTTGGGCGCTTTCGCCGAAGGAGCTTTTTTGGGGTGTTTGCGGGTTTGCAGCATGCTTGCTTCCCTTGGCAGATTTTGAGGAGTGACCGAGGAACAGCATGTAGATTGACAGTGTAAAGATGGGTCCAATCTGCACCGGACGAGTAGGATCGACGGCGAATTGACTATCACCATAGGTGAGGAAGGTTCCCGCTTGCGAGAACCTCGAAGGCGATATATGGGGGGACATTGCAGAATTAAGACTCTCTCCTGACGCTGATATGGCCATATGCAACAGGGGGATATCATTGTCCAGCTGGGCCAAGAGATCTTTCATGTCTTTGATGATGGCTTTCAGTTCTTCGAATTGCCTCTCAGAGTCGATACTTTGTCGTGAAGACCCTCGTGATGCTTCTCCAGCTTGAGCTGCTTGTTCTACCCGACGACCTAGGGCTACGATATCTCGGCGAAGACTCTTGGCCAGAGGAAGGGCTGACTCCAAGAAGGCGTTTCCTCTACCTGATCTAAGAGGTAATCAGCAAACAAGTCTCGATTCTCGAGGGAATCATTGATGATGTACTTGAACTCTATGAGATCTATTGCAGGAGAGACGATCTGTCAGCGAGGTCAGCATGTATGGCCGTATGTCAGAACCAGAAGGCGGAATCTTGCCTTGATTTTGCTGTCCAGCCTCTTCTGGAGCTTCTTGATATCTGAACGGACAGTCCGATCATCGACAGTCTTCATGAGGCGAGAACACTGGGAGAAGGCATAGGTTGAGGTCAAGGCAATGCCTGACCTGATGGCCATGTTCATTGCCTGGGCTCCCAGCTTCGCAAGTAAGGCGTCCATGACTGTTCAGTTCCCATGCTGGTATGGAGAAGGACAGATCTTGAGTTAGGTCTCCAGCCAGCAAGATGGGTTGATGTGTAGACTGTAATACGAAAGTGAGAACAAAGAAAGAACCCCTGCAGGTGGTGATGAATGAATTGGCCGGGATACCTGAGGCAGGTTGCCATAGGTGAATCTCAAAAAAGACGGGATCGCATCTCACAGCCTTAACCGTCAGTCCATGGAAGCCCTGTAGGGACGTTAAGGTAGCTGCACCCACTGACCGCTGTACCTTGCCAACTGGGCTGCATCGGGTAGAAGGGATCCGTAACACAGTGCGAAGGCCGTCACCAGCCCCGCGCTTCTCACGTGCCCAGGCGAGGGGCAAGACTGATTTTAGCGGCACAAATTGCCCCTCATTGGCTACGTACCTCTGAGTTGCTGCCAGATGAGGACAGTGCGGTGTCCAGCCAAAAGTCGAGGCAGCAACCCCGCCAAGTGGTGGGGCCCGCACTTCAAAACGTTCGTCAGGTCTCTACGCTAGCAGACACAGAGCCGCTGCGTTATATCATTGAAAAAATTGACAAGGCCAGGAAAAGCTTCTAGAAATCTGACCCGAAATTCTACCAGAGGCAGAACAGGAACTATTTCTTGGAAATTCAGTCAGGCGGCAGCTGTCAACCCACAAAGTGAGTCATTCCAGCCCAACTTCAAGTCACATTCTCTGGCCCATAGATTACATTGTTGCTCATCTTTTGCCTCCCCATTGTGTCACTCCTGTTACTGGTCTGCTGGAGCCACAGAGGTCGCCGTTCACGTCTGAGGCGCAGGAAAAATAAACCCTCCAGCCCCTCTTTAAATCTTCCTCGGGGCGCATCTCGTTAACGACCCATCCCACTTCTAGCTCACCTCTGACCGCATTCTTCCCCCCTCCCCCGATTACGCTCCCCGATCGTGTACAAACGACACGACACCTCACCTCACCTCACCTCACCTCTCGACAATCCCATCCATCTGCCGCCCCGCTGCAGCCCATCACAATGTCGAACCTCAACTCGTGGGAAGACGACCCATCCGCCCAGGACGACAACCTGTCGCGCCAGGCCCAGCAGCAGCTCAATCTCAACCAGCAGAACCCTCAAGCCGGCGCCTTCCGTCCAGGCGGCTCTTCCTTCACCCCTGGAGCCTCCTCTTTCACCCCAGGAGCCCAGGCTTTCCAGCCTGGCCAGCAATACGGCGGCTATCCCCAACAGTACCAGCAATACTACGGCCAAGGTTACGGTGGTCCTGGCGCTGGTGGTGCAGGTGGCTTCCCTCAGTACGGCGGCCAGCAAGGATACAACCAATATGGCCAGGGCAACTATGGCGGTTACCCCCAACAGGGCTACCAGCAGCAGCAAGCCTACGGTATGTTTGAGACATCGACAAGTCATCTTCTCTTCTATGAGAGTTGCCTAACATAATCGCCTTCTAGGTCAAGGCTACCCCCAGTACGGCCAGCAGCAGCAACAGCAGCCCCAGGCTGCGGCACCTACCATCGCCAAGCGTCCGACTGACGCCCCGTCCTCTGGCTCCAGCACTCCTGCTCCTGCAGCCGCAGCCGCACCTCAGCCCGCAGTGAAGAGTGAGGGAGGCGCCAAGGTTTTGAGCATCGGCGGTGACGCCCCCAAGCCCAAGGCTAAGGTCCTCTCCATCGGCGGCACCGTCCCCCCCAAGGAGGAAAAGAAGAAGGAGGAGGCTCCCAAGGAGACCTCATCTGACGCCGCAGTCGAGGCCGGAGCCAAGGCAACCGCTTCCAAGGCGATCGAGAAGACGGGAGCTTCTACCACTAAGTCTGGCAAGGCCTCTCCTGCTCCTTCGTCAGGCCGTTCCAGCCCCTCTGGACCTGAGAAGAAGGGAGTCACGAGAGATGTCGATGCCGTCCAAAAGGAGCAGACTGCCGATGTCGACGAGGCGACTCTTAAGGAAATCTACGGAAAGGAGCACGTCAACATCATCTTCATCGGTCACGTCGATGCTGGAAAGTCTACCTTGGGTGGCTCTATCCTCTACAACACCGGCATGGTCGACGAGCGGACAATGGAGAAGTACAAGAAGGAGGCCAGGGATATCGGTAACCCTTCTTGGTACCTTTCATGGGTCATGGATCTGAACAAGGAGGAGCGATCACAGGGCAAGACCATTGAGGTCGGTAGGGGTTACTTCGAGACGGACGTACGACGATACAGCATTCTCGACGCCCCTGGCCACAAGACGTACGTCCCCAACATGATTGGTGGTGCCTCCCAGGCAGATGTCGGTATCTTGGTCATCTCGGCCCGTAAGGGAGAGTACGAGACCGGTTTCGAGCGTGGTGGCCAGACCCGTGAGCACGCTATGCTTGCCAAGACTCAGGGTGTCAACAAGTTGATTGTTGCCATCAACAAGATGGACGATGCCACTGTCGAATGGTCTCACGAGCGTTACACGGAGTGCACAACCAAGCTGTCCCAGTTCTTGAAGGGTACCGGCTACAACCTGAAGACGGACGTCTTCTTCATTCCTGTTGCTGCCCAGCAATCGATTAACATCAAGGAGAGAATTGCCAAGGGTATCGCCGACTGGTACGAGGGCCCTTCATTGCTCGAGTACCTCGACGGTATGAAGGCTCTTGAGCGCAAGGTCAACGCACCCTTCATGATGGCCGTTGCCGGCAAGTACCGCGATCTCGGAACCATGATCGAGGGTAAGATCGAGGCCGGTGTCATCAAGAAGGGCATGTCGCTCGTCATGATGCCCAACAAGCAAAACATTGATGTGTCTGCCGTGTACGGCGAGACTGAGGAGGAAGTGCAGGTTGCGCAGTGCGGTGACCAGGTCCGCATCCGCCTCAGGGGCATTGAAGAGGAAGACATCATGCCTGGATTCGTCCTGTGCTCGCCCAAGCGCTTGGTGCACAACGTCCAGACTTTCGAGGCCCAGATCCGCATTCTGGAGCTCAAGAGCATTTTGTCAGCAGGCTTCAACTGTGTGCTGCACGTCCACGCCGCCATTGAAGAGGTAACCTTTGCCGCGCTGCTGCACAAGCTCCAGAAGGGCACAGGCCGCAAGAGCAAGCTGCCTCCTTCGCACGCGAAGAAGGGCGACAGCATCATTGCTCGTCTGCAAGTCATTGGCGGTGCCGGGTCCGTGTGCATTGAGAAGTTCGAAGACTACCCGCAAATGGGTCGCTTCACCCTCAGAGATCAGGTTTGTTGCGCCTCGATTTCCAGATTTTCTTTACCTGACGACTAACACACGGGGAAATAGGGACAAACCATTGCCATTGGCAAGATTACGAAGCTGATTACGGATGAGACATCTTAAGTTGATACCAGATGACACGAAACCCACGGCTGACTTCAGGCGGAGGAAGAGAGCCGAGCGCTCCTTGGATTTGGCAGGCGTAAGGAACGTTCGCAGGAACATGATGAACCTGTTCTGGGCCATGACCAATGTGCATAGAAAGCAGCGCGGAAATGTGTAAAAGAGAATATAGCGACGTCATGGGGAAAAGGGGGCGGCCATTGCCGTTTACACGAACCGGGCCGCGAAAGGCTCGGCATGATAGACCCCGTACGTGGCATTCTCGGAACAAAGAGGATTTAGGAAGGGTAGGGACGGAAAGAACGGTTCGAAAACTCAAAATCAACCTCAAACCTTGTCAAACAAGCGCATGACGATGGCTTCACGTTTTGACCCTGTGCATGTGTGTGATGTGTACGGAAGGGGTGATTATGTGCGCCTGAATCAGGATTGACGAAATCCGAGGTGACTGCATGGAACTCTTTGCACTTCCGATTGATTCCGATGATAAGGGCATTCTCGGGGAGGCATTGGGGCAGTGATAAGATATGGCCCACCCCGCCCCCGCGGTCGTCGGCAGCTCCGAGTTATTCTCGTGCTTGGAGGGGAGGATCTTTGGGCCCAGAAGCCCTCCTCGAGTCTCCACGACTTTGGGAACTTGACAATCAACATGGGTGTATGGGCAGAAAAGAAAAAAAAAGAACAAGTTGGCTTTGTGGAGCCGAGATATGACGGACGGCAATCTGCTGTGGAGCAGTAGCGGAGCCGAAGGGGGTGATGCCGGCCTAACGGAGGCTTGCCAATCCCAACTGGATGCGATGGGCAGTGTTGTCACGGTGTGTAATGCGTTTTTCCCGAGCCGTCAAGTCACGTTGGAAGGCTGGAGCCCAGCCCAGCATCGTGGGGTTGGATGGGAGAGAAAAGAGCTTAGAGGTGGGAGGGAGGGAGCCTCCTCCGAAATGGCCAGGCCAGTCCACGGGGAAGAAAGTCTGGAGTCTGGAGATGCTGCAATGTCAATTCTTCTTTTTTTGGTGTCGTTCCTCCGCCCTCCTCCTCATTACCCCAGAGAATTTTTTGAAAACGTGCAAGTTCCGAGTGACCACTTACCCCATGCTTGGGAATTTAACACGGGCTGGAAAGGCTTGGCCTGGGCAAGGTGAGTCGGTGACCTCCTTTTTCTGTCCGTCACATGGCTCTGGGGAATGAGGCTAGGTACGTAATAGTAACAACCATCAAAGCGAATGAGCAAAGTCTCGACTATTCTCGTGTAAAAAACACACCCCTTCCTTGGTAGGCTTAGGTTAGGTACTATTCGTTTGCTCAGGCACGCCGCACAGGAAGAATATACACAAATTATGACGGAACGGCCATGGGATCAATATTCAGCCCCAGTAGGAGCCGTATTTGATTGACCGCCCCCGCCCCCTGCATCGAGTTGTGTTATAGCCCTAGACGCTTGAGAAACCAAAGGCAACCGGAATACGTATTATGTGACAGTCGCACACCAATGTCTCCCTTTTCCCCTATCTATCGTGCCTATTTAGTTCAAAATTCGGTTCAATATGATACAATCAAGACCTGGTGAAAAAGAGAGCAAAAAGCTGGGAATTCCGAAGCAAGAGTCGGGAGAAGTCGGAATGAGAAGCTGAAGGTCAGCCTTTGTGTTTCCAGAACACCTCTCATTGGTAGAAACCCGTGGGGCGCGGGGTAGTCTGCGCTAGCGTATGTACTCAGGTACCTGTATCCGTCCGGATAGACAGCGAGCGTGGGGCCTGGGGACCGAAGTCCTAGGTATGCTCGGCTATGTGGAGGGGCAATTTAGAGGGGGGTTTCCGAAGCGGGGCCAGGCGGCTCTCGACGTGAGGTAGCAGCAAACTTGAACGTCATCTTTTGGTCAAATTTCGGGGCTCATCCCGCTCAATACCAAGGGTTATTAGGAGGATTTGTGCATAAGGACACATGGCTGATTCAGAGCTATGTTTCTAATGTTTCTTCCTTGCACATAGCCACATTGTACACATCAATCGTTCCCGTGAAAGCCCGATCGAGAGACTACCTACGGAAGACCAAGCAGGGGAGGGGTGTGCTAGATGGGCCATGGTACTTTACCGGTAGGTGTTCCGTTGCTCGCATTGCATTGCCGCGATGCGTTGGCGGGGTTGGGCTTAACAAGAGACGCACACGCGCACGCGCACACACTGGTCCCAACTTCTTGATATCGGAACTTGGGAAGTGGCTCAGGTTCCTAATTATTATCGTGAATGCTGTTTCAGCTTTCTTTGCATAGAAAAAGAGACAGCTGACGGCAGCTTGGTGCCGGGTAGCAACAGCTGGAAACTTGACAGACCGCAATTTCAAAACTGACGGTGAGTATCAGAAATGGCAGACGAGGAAAAAAGTGAGAACGGTGGTGCCGTGGAGGGTTCAAAGACTTCGGGACTGGCTCAAAGCGGGGACGAAACATGTAACGGGGAGAGGGACGAAGAGAGCATTAGAAACCATATGTATTCAATACGTATAGACTTTCCGTGTAAGCGCTGAATGCTGCGTAAGGTAGCTCCTTCTCAGATTTGTGGAAAGATTCGGAGCCGCAACTTGCCAAGTTCCATTGAGATTTCCCAGAACTTCAGCCCGCAGGGTAACATGCTGATAGGGGCCGCCGCAGTAGGCAGCTAAAAAGATCAGACCAAAAAAAAAAAGAGAACTGGCCTAAATATTCCCAATGCCATGTTAAACCGACCTGTCTTGAAGTCTTGGCTGCGTGTGCTTTTCTTTCCCCCTGTTGCTGGGCTCACTGGGCTGAGTGGGAGACGGGGTGAAGGCAGGCTGGGCTGGACAGTGGAGGGTACCTACGAAGAGGGGAGCGGGGGTGCATAACTTAGACAGTAGTGCGTAGATGCGGCAAGGCACCGCGGTAATCGAACGCAGGTGTGAGTCTATACTTCGTACATACAGATGGGAGATACCTTGGTATAGCATGTGCAACTGCTCAGTGTCCAGGTCTGAGACGGAGACGTAGGTGTACGTACCGATCTGAACAGACGGGCCACGTACGGCACGGAACGGGTGACTTGATTCGTATGCTTTTTTGATTCAGGAAACCCGTTTCTGCTCTATTGGCACATTAATTCGAGGTCGCGTTCGACCCGAGCAGGTAGAAGCGTTAATTCGAGGCTGACTCGATGCCGAGTCAGAAGCCGAAGTTTTGTGGCTTCCTTGCGCAATTCGCAGACATACTTTCGGCGTGCACGCGGCTTTGTCCGGCTTGATGACCTAAGGTGCGGCAAGGGGAGGTTCTCCCCGGGCCCCCAGCAAGATTTGAATAATTATCCGGGTGAACGGCGGGTGGGATAATTGATCTTCATGGTCCGGCCTTCTTTTTGGCGCCGACGTGTAACGGGATCCCCCTCCACGTTATGATCTCTGTTTTGCGCCCAATCATATCGAGGTAGTATCCTATTTCCTGTTCGATGATGTAGCTAGCTTAAGCACCAATGAAGTTGTTCTTCGGGCTGTCGTTTCCTGGGAAATCAACATTTGAGGGCAATGTAGCGGAGCGACAAGCGTGTCTGTCCCGGAGGCCGCCCGAACTCTTTCGTCTGTTGACTGTTGTACCTCCATGTACCTTTGGCCAAACAGCATTACAGAGGAACCGGCAGCCAATGACGAAGCGTCACCTGTATGGGGTACCTGTAAAAGACGGGCAGAAATGCACAAGACGACCCCTTCGCATCTCTCTATGGTGAATTGGCATACCCAACTTACGTACTGGGAAGGTGGACGGCTTCAAAGATGAGGTAAGTTAGCCAGGATTCGGGAGGACCAGGCCGACGCAACGGAGACAGACGGAGGAAGCCCGCAGATTGTGGGGAGGCGCCAACAGGAGGGGGGGATGGAGGGGTGTACTCTTTGCCCTGGTTAAGGCAGAAGAAAGTACTTCCAAGGCTCCAGATTCAAACCTCAGATCAGGGTGGGACTTGTGGATTGCAGGATTGTGCATCATGATAGACGCTGTCGAAGAGAACATGGTAAAATTTGGCCCCTTCACTTTGCCTTGCCGCAACCACTTCCACCCCCCTAGCCCCGCGATAACATGGCCCGAAGGGAAACACGGCGGGCAAGTTCGGGCCCTCGTTATCTTGGGACGATGAGGCAATCCGATATGCCCTCGCACTCTTCAACTTGCTGCTGCATGTCTCTTTTTCTTCATTTTGTCTTTTTCCTACCTTTGCACTGCCCACACGCCCTCATCACACACCCCTGACACCCCTCTCTCCAACTTCCTCCACACATTTTCTCCCGTACCTAGTCGTGCTAGTGTATACTACACGCCTCCATTCCCAACCTAGGAAGGACCATGCACAGATACGAAGTGACAAAGGGATCGAGACAAGACGTCCTCCCGAGAAGTCTTCCCCAACTCTCCCCGATTCTGTCCCTATTCCTCCTCTATCCCGAACCCGCACAGGGATCTACGCCCCTCCGCCGAACCCGAGATAATATCGTGAAGCTCGCAGCAACGGCAATTCGTCCAGTGACATCGGCGTCTTCGCCCCCGCGACTCCACACGCCGCGCCCGTTCTTATAAGTCCAAGACCCCATTCTGGCCCTTCTATCCTCGGCCCAGCTTCAGATCCAAGCCACCCAAAGCAGCTTTGTCTACACTTGTACTCACCAGTCTCACACTCCCATCTTACTCCGTCCACCCCGGCCAATTTATTCCAGAAGTGTGGATACGATTCCTTTCGCGATCCCTGAAAGCGGACGAGAACCACAAGCCTCCAAGCCTTGACCCAAACCATCTTCACCCGATCTCAAAGACCTACCCGTCCAACGACTCAATTCTTTATAACCATGAAGGATCCCGTCCAGAGAACTGCTTCTCCCTACACTGATCCCAAAGTTAAAGGCCCAAAGTCTCAGATTCTCGCAGAAGGAACCCAAGCAGACTTACGCAAGAGTACGTCCACACTACATCCCATCTCCGTTATATCGTCATATACCCTCTTATACACCCATCCCCTTCCCGAGTTTTTCCACAACAACGCAAACTCAGTCTTGGTCTCATCCTTTCCTTATACCACTTGTCACTTCACCCAAAAAAAATATCACCATCATTCAATTTTACCAATCGACAAGTTGTAGCTAACATGGCGCCTTCAGTGATCGCTAGCAACGTTAACAAGACTCCTCTCCACCCTGGTGGTGTTGCGTAAGTTTCCCTGCTGTTTCTTGGTTCAGCAAGTCCAGTTTTTGGACAAAAAAACACAAGAAACAGCTGGCTAACCCACAACTTGCAGTCCTCACCAGGAGCACACGGAGCTCGAGGAGGAGCTTCACGAGACCGCGCACATTGACTACGACCGTGTCGCCATTATCCCCAACCCTTCCGTCCCCGCCCTTTACGAAGATGCCCTCGTCTACGAGACCGGTTCCGCCATCACATCAAGTGGTGCCTTGACTGCCTACTCTGGAAAGAAGACTGGTCGTTCGCCTTTGGACAAGCGAATTGTCGAGGAGGACAGCTCCAAGAACGACATCTGGTAAGCTTCTCCCTCTCCAAAGCCAGAGTAGTCAACACGCACAGCTTCAGAACGGCTGGCGCTGACCATTGAATGCGTAACTATTTGCTAACACGATGTTCACCAGGTGGGGCCCCGTTAACAAGCCCATGTCACCCGAGGTAAGAGAAATCGCAACCCAGATCGAGTCATGGTGCTGTGGGCACGCTTCCCCTTGGTCCTTTGTTTGTGTGGCTCGTCATCGGTTGGACATTCGCATTTCCCCCCCAGGCACTCAGCCATGGCAACTGCGCTTGCACCCAAACAGAGCCGTCTGTCACGCGACCTTTCGGAGACAGCAAAAAAGTCACTCTGGAAAGTGTCTGGGCCCTTTTCTGCTGCAAGCTTGAGCCCTACTCTGAGTCAGCAGCGAAACGAACTCAGGCACTGCCGAAGACTTCTTTGCTGTCAATGAATGCGTCATGTTTCAGCTCGGCACTGCTACCAGTACACACCTGCGCGCAGCAAGCAAAAAGTCCACTACCGCTGGTCCTTTCTGCACAAATCCGAGGAACTGATGGAGGCGCATCGCATCGGTTCATGCCGGAGGGAACTCATCGAGATGGTCCTTCATCCAATGTATTCCCCCGATGTTCCCCGCCAGGTTCCTCGGGTGCAGTTTTTCGACTGGGAGTGTCGTCATCAAAGGCTGCAACCCCTCCTCGTTCCCCTTTGGGCCTTGGGTGCAGCGCATGAGAAAAGAAGGCAGTTGGTTGCCGGCCCCGCACTTTCCAATGCAAAGCCGCGCTAAACCTTTTTCTCATGACTCCACTACTGTCACCCATTCTCTCCTGCCACACCCACCCCGCGTGCCGACGGCCTCCATGTTCCTGCTTCTCCCGGCGCTGGACCCACATCCAACGCCGGGGCCAACCTCTCTTTGAGCATTCGCTGACATGTGAGATTTTTAGGTCTGGAAGATCAACCGCGAGCGTGCCATCGACTACCTCAACACCAGAAACCGTATCTACGTCGTCGATGGTTACGCCGGCTGGGATGAGAAGTATCGTATTCGCGTCCGTGTCATCTGCGCCCGCGCCTACCATGCTCTCTTCATGAGAAACATGCTCATTCGCCCTCCTCGTGAGGAGCTCGAGCACTTCCACCCCGACTACACCATCTACAATGCCGGCTCTTTCCCTGCCAACAGATACACCGAGGGTATGACCTCCGGCACCTCAGTCGCCATCAACTTCGCCGAGAAGGAGATGGTCATTCTCGGTACTGAGTACGCTGGTGAGATGAAGAAGGGTGTCTTCACCGTCCTCTTCTACGAGATGCCTATCAAGCACAACGTCCTCACTCTGCACTCCTCTGCCAACGAGGGCAAGAACGGCGATGTTACCCTCTTCTTCGGTCTGTCAGGCACTGGCAAGACCACTCTCTCTGCCGACCCTCAGCGCGCCTTGATCGGTGACGACGAGCACTGCTGGAGTGACCGCGGTGTCTTCAACATTGAGGGCGGCTGCTACGCCAAGACCATCGGCCTGTCCGCCGAGAAGGAGCCCGATATTTTCGGCGCCATCCGCTTCGGCTCCGTCCTTGAGAACGTTGTCTTCGACCCCGAGACCCGTGCCGTCGACTACGATGACTGCACCCTGACAGAAAACACCCGCTGCGCCTACCCCATCGAGTACATCAGCAACGCCAAGATTCCCTGCATGTCAGAATCTCACCCCACCAACATCATCCTCCTCACTTGCGACGCCCGCGGTGTCCTGCCTCCCATCTCCAAGCTCGACCGCGCCCAGACCATGTTCCACTTCATCTCTGGTTACACCTCCAAGATGGCCGGAACTGAGGACGGTGTCACCGAGCCCCAGGCCACTTTCTCCTCCTGCTTCGCCCAGCCCTTCCTGGCCCTGCACCCCATGCGCTACGCCAAGATGCTTGCCGACAAGATCGAGCACCACAACGCCAACGCCTGGCTCCTCAACACCGGTTGGGTCGGTGCCGGTGCCGCTCAGGGAGGCAAGCGCTGCCCCCTCAAGTACACCCGTGCCATCCTCGACGCCATCCACTCTGGCGAGCTCGCCAAGGTCGAGTACGAGACCTACGAAGTCTTCAACCTCCAGGTCCCCAAGACCTGCCCAAGTGTCCCCGACGAGCTTCTCAACCCCAAGGCTGCCTGGACTGCCGGCAACGACAGTTTCAACACCGAGGTCAAGAAGCTCGGCACCCTCTTCAACGAGAACTTCAAGAAGTACGCCAGCGAAGCGACCGAGGAGGTCGTCAAGGCCGGTCCCGTCGTTTAAAGCGCAAGCATGCTCTGAGTTGATTAGCGATCATATTTATGGATTTATGAAGGACTCTTTTCTTTAATCATCTTTTGGGTACAACTTTGGGAAATCAGGATGTGTCGTCGACATAGTTCCGACACGAACATAATTGTCGCGTGGATTGGATACCGCGGCAAGTTTTGGGGATTTGGTGTCAAAACGGAGTGATGTCTGTTCTGGGCTTCATTTCATAGAATGAGAATGAGAATAAACATGAAGCAAAATTACCGTTCCAAATTTTGAATGTGAATGTTCCAACCCACCAATGTATACTATCAATCTCGTTGAACTATACTAGCTGCAGTGCACCGACTTGAGCAAAGTTCGATACCTCTCTCAGAACTTGTCACTAGCCAACTTGTTCTCGACTCGCCCCAGGGGGGAAATTTGTAACAAAGGTATTAACTTCATCAAGGATGTAAGTTACAATCAGTCATCTCTCAGTGTCAGTGTGCCTGCGTTGTCAAGTAATGATGCCATACAAGCACATGAAATCTTTATGGTAGATCAAACCCAACAGGAAATCGGTCTTGTCTTCGTAACTTTGTAGTTTTGTATGTTCTCTCAGTCTAGGTTCTTCCTCTTTTTCTCATAGCCCCCCGCATCTACCAATCCCTAGATGAAATTTTCTCCGCCACAATCCATCTCACAGACCCTACAGGTGGCATATATATCTCCTTACCGCTCTTAAACTCCCACCCTTCAGTCCGGCCGCCACACGACTTCATCAACGCCTCTACTTCGTCCGGCGTCCGCGTCCTCAGCGCAGAAATGTACCCGTCAAACACCAACACAAACGGAATAATCGGAATGAGATAGGTGAAAACGAGGACGGAGAAGCTGCGTAGCCTCCATGCGTAGAGCGGCGCGAAGATGAAGCAGCCGATACCGAGGATCGCGGGCATGATGAAGGACAAGAGGTCGCGGCCCTGCAGCTCCATGATAGCGAAGCCGTCCGACGTCTCGAGTGTATTCTTCAAAATCGCCTTCGCCAGCGGGTCGTCAAAGTGGTGGAACGCCAGATTAAACAGCCGAAACACCTTTTTGCCCTTGGAGGTATACCCGTCGACCAGCTCGCGCGGCGCGTGCGCGGCGTCGACGCTCTTTGGCTCGTAGCCGATATGCTCGCTGCGCGCGGCGGCGCGGGCCCAGGACTCGGTGTTTGGGTGCAGGTCCGTCAGCACGAAGTCGACGTTGGGCTGCTTCTGGGCGGTGAGGTGGCGGTTGACGAAGCGCTCGATGGCCGGGGTGGGACCGCCGGAGCCGGCGCAGAAGTCGATGAAGGTGTAGGAAGGGAGGCGGGGGCCGAGGACGTGCTGGAGGATCTGGGCGGCGACGCGGGCCGGGGAAGAGGTTTGGAGGACGGGGACGCGGTAGACCCAGGCTGCGTGGAGGCCTTCTTGGACGTAGGCTCGGAGGAAAGAGGGGAACCTGGGGTTGAGAGAGGATGTGTTAGCTTTCTGCGATGACAGAGAGAATTGTGAAAGGCGAGAGTAAGTCCTTGAGAGGCGCAACTCACCAAGTCTGGTCGTCAATCTCAAAGAGGTGGAATCGCGGGACGAGAGGCGCCATCGTGATGACGTCGAGATGCAAGTCGCTGTCGTAGCAGGATTTCGTTTAACACTGGTGGCCGGTTGAGCAGTTAATGTAGTTGATTGTACAGGCAGAAGAGTTTAGGTGACCAGATCACATGCAAAGCGTCCGATGTGTAGCTCCTTGCAAATCGGCTGGAGGTTCAATCTGGCGGCCACGAGGGCTTTATTACACGGTGCTGCTTGTTGAGACAGATGGAAGTTCGTAGCAGAATTGGGGTCCCCCTGTGCCCTGCCGTTAGCCGGCACGGGGTGGCGGGTGCGGGAGCTATCGCATTCGCTAGTGCTGAGCTCGAGACAGGGAAAGCTCCAGCCCGGGCATGGGTCCGACCCCCCCAAGCTCCGCTGGAAACGTGCCCACTAGGTACCTCATCAGTTCACCACGACGGAAGCAGCACCTGAGACCGACCTGGGTTCCAAAGAACAAGGTGATCACAGGCTAGATTGATTTGGCACATCGTTGAAGTCTGGTTGTAAGTACCCTTGACGGTATCATGGCGCGTAAGGTGAAGAGTTCTTGGAAAAGGACGTCAACATGATGGCGGGGAGCTACCTTATCCTTAAAGGCAACAAGGGCCAAGGGCTTGAAGTTTCGACAGGGGTGAGATGTTTAGTGTACGCAGTAATGTGGACTTACTCGGGAGCGGTGCAATGGAACTCTGAGTTCCCCCGTCGGGGATGCAAGCTACCAATTGCTCCCCTCCCACTGGTCGGCGCCTAGGTATTGAGACATTGGGGCCATTGGACAATCGTGTTGGCCTTCGTCTTCGTCATCATATACTTCGTGGTATCATTCTTCCTCACCTCTTCTCAACGCCTTCCTTCCACCATTCCTTTTCTGGCCGAGTTTAGTCAAGATCGAGAAGCTAGAAGTTACGGTCTTTCACTTACGGTAAATTGGGTCTCAAAGTGCGGATGGTGTCTTCGGCACATATTGTAGTGGAAAGTCGTCCCACATCTCCATTACGAGAGATCAAGGACATCGCCTCGTGATGGCCCTGGTCAACGCCTCAGCAGCCGCCGTAGTGGTTGCGATCTCACTCCTAATATACGCCATCTTTGGTCAGCCAAAGCTAAGGAGGAATGGCGTCCCATTACGGTCAGTTCACCAACTTTCAAGCCTGTTGAGCTACCTATTGAATACACCGTTTGGTTGGATATTGACTTTGGCCTAGACGACCTCCTAATACACTGCCGCTCGCCGGAAATGGCATCATCTTCCTCAGAGATCGCCAGAAGCTATTCGACTGGTTCACCAAGTGTGAACAACTTTACGGCTATGAAACGCTGCAAATCTCTGTTCCCAGTCTACCTCCAGGGGTCATCATCAGCGATCCCAAGAACCTAGAATACGTCTTCAAGAACGAGGGCATATTTGCCAAGGGAGAATTCTTCAAGGGGAGATCGAGGGACTTGTTTGGTGAGTCTTAGTGCCTCTTGGTATTGATGATCACTCCGCTTACGGGCCACAGGTAATGGCATAATCAATGTTGATGGCGACCTGTGGAAGGTCCAGAGAAAGGCCGGCCTCAATTTCCTCAATACCTCGAACCTAAGAGTTCTCACAGACGTGGCGTTGCCACAGTATCTATCTCAGAGTGTCGCCTACCTTGGAAGCCAGTCCGGTAATGATGTGGTGGACTTGCAGGCAGTCTTCCACGAAATCACGACCCAACTTATGGGCAAGATGGCTTACAACGTATGTTGGCATGCTTCTCACAGTTCATTCTGTCCTTCTCATTGCTCCGTCTAACACATGACATAGATGGAAATGCACGCAGAAGACACGTTTGGCCTGGCCTTCGACTACGCATCAGGTGCGACTGCAGAGCGGTTCCAGAATCCAATGTGGTTCCTCACAGAGATCCTCACAGGAGCACGTCTGAGGAAATCCATCTCTGTCGTGAAATCCTTTGGACAGAGCATAGTCTCCAGTGCGATGACGGACAGAAAAGCGTCTCCCAAAACCGCGCCAGACGTCTCACAAGATCTGGGGAGCGACAGGCTCGACAACATATGCGGCAGTTTAGTCCAGTCATTGCTAGACACCATTGGAGACGAGCAGCTAGTTGCCGATGCCGCGCTGAATTACCTCTCGGCAGGCAAAGATACCACGGCGCAGGCTCTGACGTGGACATTCTACCTGCTCATGCAGTACCCGGAGGTTGTAGCCAAGATCCGCGAGGAGGTCGACGACATTAAACAGCAAAGTGAGGAGGACTCCCTTGAGAAAGCCATTGCGGAACGGGGTAACCCGAATACGATGCCGTATGTCTTCTCAGTCTTTTACGAAGCGCTGCGCATCTTCCCACCGATCCCTTTCGAAATCAAACAGGCTGTTCAGGCGACAACGCTACCGGACGGCACCTTTCTACCCCAGAACTCCGTCATTGTCTGGTGCACCTGGGCGATGAACCGCTCGCGCACCACATGGGGCTCTGATGCGGACCAGTTCCGGCCCGAGCGATGGCTGGTCGACGGTAGAGTCATCAACAAGAGCACCTCCGAATTCCCAGTCTTCAACGGCGGGCCAAGAACATGTTTGGGGAAGAAGATGGCTGAGATCATTGCCGTGCAAGTGATTGCTACCGTAGCTGGTCTCTTTGATTGCGTGAGAGTCGATGACTCGACGAGAGTCAGCAAGAGTAGTCTTACCTTACCGATGAAGGACGGCCTGCCCTGTTTTGTACAACGTAGACCTGATGTCGAAATTTAAGCTATCAATCTTCCGCTTTTGAGGGTTCTCGTTCCCTTTGGTGGTCACTTTTGAAACTATTGAAGGCAAGTAAGTCAGAGGATGGGATAGGGGACACGACGTTGCTTCCGGAGGATCATCGATAACGGGTAGGGACCACTGTCGCATGTCTGCACCCCCGGTTGAAAGAACAGAATGCAAAACATCATTCTTTGGTTCATCAGGGTCTAAATGATCAAAAAGTATACTTCAACAGCAAAAAAGTTACAAAAAAGTATAGCACAACCTGGTTTCGATCCAGGGACCTCTGGGTTATGAGCCCAGCGCTCTACCCCTGAGCTATTGTGCTTTGATGTGGGGTTGATTGCTAATGGTCTTTACCTAAACTAAAAATCATCGATGCCCGCTCGCTCCGCACAGCACTTAGGTCTAGAATCCTGCACCTTTGTAATCGCGTGTCATTTGTGGAAATTCTCAGACATTGAGTAGAAGAAAACTGTGACGTTTAAGTGTTATAATAGTTTGAGGTGTCTTTTCTGCCTTTAGATTGTTGCTTATTGACCAGTACAAGTTGGGGAAGTACACCAGTACACGTGAGGTATCACCAAGTCAGACCGTTTGTACGTAGACAAAGTCTTGACAGATTAATTACAGAGACACAAAAAGCCTATTATGAGATAAAGCTTTGGACACCCTTTCGAGTCTTCTTTTGACTACCTGAACCACCAATTCACGGAGGCATTCAACCTCCCATCATGATGTCTACTCTTGACACTATGCCACCAACCTTTGGGGATGAAGAGAGCATTTCCAGGGCCCAATTGAGCCTCTGTAATATCCGCGTGGCTCTCCGATCCCCAGACAGCTGTGTTCATTGCTACCCTCTCGCGGCCCTCCATCATTTCCGTCGATCTGATGCGACTACTCCCCGACTGCTGAAGCTGAGCCTGTATCTGACGATACAACCGATCGCCAGATGACGGCGGTAGCAGGCGGACTGTTTTGCTGCCAACAAGTTGACAGAATAAATTAGGGTTCGGATCGCGGTGTAGCGGGGTATATGTCGGCTCCAGCCCAAGCCACAAGCTCGAATTGTATACGTCGCCTTTACCGGCTTCCAAGACAATGCGTGGGACAGGCAGGTCTTCCTGGAGTTCTAGAGGTAGGTCCGGGAGTTGAGCCTGGGCTATGTAAAGCTGCTTGATCTTCTTCTCGTGCAGGCTGTTGAATTCCGCAGCCTTGAGAAGGAGTTGCAGGGGAGCAACGAATGACGAGAACTTTGGCTCCGAGGCATCTGGGTGGGATGCTGCGTGGACGATGCCTGCTAGCACTGCACCCATGGGATCCGGATCAGACGCAAGCCATGCAAGAAACTGTTGTGTTGTGTTCACTAAAACTCCAGAATCGTCGGCGATCTGAGGACTTATGAACTCGTATGGGAACATGTGGTGGGCGAATTGGTTCATATAGGGAGTGAATTTGGCGGTGGGTTTCTGGTTAGCGTCTTGAGTTTGGGCGAACCATTTTGAAGATGCCGAGAAGGAACTCTGCTGAGCAGGGTTGGAGGACTGGCCAAATAGGAGAGGTTTTTCTTGTGTGAATGAAGATCTTCGAAATTCTTCGATATTGACTACCTCGAATGGAGATTTTGTAGCTTCTACCGAGTGTAATGTTGAAAACCCACGTCGAATTTGGGGGGGCCTGGATGAAGTGAGCGCGTGGCAACAGCCGCGGGCAAGAAGCCTCATGTCTGAGAGCATCTACTGAAGGACCATAGTCTTAAAGTAAGTAAACGAGAACAAGAATTGTTATGTATCATAGAACGAGCCATCAGCAAGCTAAGAAGAGCAGTGATGGGCGAGTAATTCGACTTGATTTGACATGGCTACGTACCTAGACACATACGTCTCGGTGAGTAGCAATGAATCAGTGGAAGCGAGAAGGAGTACCCTCACCGAGAAGATCGGCGAAGGGAACAACTAGAGGCCCGCTCACCGAAGGACCGATGGAGTGCGCACAGACCAGCATAGTGATTGGACGTAATCTCAGCGGGCTGGGCTTCGTGAGGCACCGCAGTCCACAGCCCACCCACCACAACTACAGCTTTTGCTGAGAGGCTCCAAATACCGCTTCTCTCCCCTGCCGCCAGAAAAAAAGGACGGGGAAGTATTTCTCTGTATCGCAACTCAAGTCTGCTCAGTACACGGCATCCGACCGCTCGCGAAACCATTCCTCGATCTCGCAACTTCCCCATCGTCCTTCGCGCTCGACATGCGCCGCACTTGACCCGTCACGCCCCCCAACTACCCCGCCACCTTTGCGCCCCTGCTGGGAGACCATCGATATCCAAAGCAGCTGTTCGGAGACCATCGCTGTCCTCCAACCGACGACTGTATCGCGCGTGCTTGCCCGCGTCGCAACCCAACCCATTTTTAAACGACACCCCGTCAATACCATCACCTTGGATTACCTCGACGACATGTCCACCTCTTCGGGGGCCCCGGAGTCTTGGATATCTTCCTTTTGCTCTCTCCTTGGCCATGAATACTTCGCTGAGGTTTCTGAGGAGTTCATCGAGGATGACTTCAACCTCACTGGCCTGCAGAATCAGGTCGCGATGTACAAGGAGGCACTCGAGGTACGCAGGCTGTCTCTTTCTCGCTTAGATTTTCTTTTTTCTTTTGTTCTTCTGGAGATTGGGAGCTCAAGCGACCTTTTCAGCCCCCAGGCTGCGCGATAGACGTCAATGCTGACCTGACCTGCATAGATGATCCTTGATGTGGAGCCTGAAGAGGACGAGGACGAAGAGGAGGAGGAGGATGAAGACGAAGACGAGAACGACTCGGGAGATCAAGACCGACTCGGCCCCAGACACGACCGGAGACAACATAGCCGCATGGCTAGCGACCTAAGTGTTATCGAGTCTTCCTCCGAGATGCTTTACGGCTTGATTCATCAGCGATTCATTTGCTCGAGGGCGGGCATTCAACAGATGAGCGAGAAGTATGAGTTGGGCCATTTCGGCTGCTGCCCCCGTACCAACTGCGATCAAGCGAGAACACTCCCTGTCGGTCTCTCTGATATTCCCGGCGAAGACACCGTGAAGCTGTTTTGCCCTTCCTGCCTCGACGTCTACGTCCCTCCTAACAGCCGTTTCCAAACCGTCGACGGTGCCTTCTTCGGCCGTACCTTTGGCGCCCTCTTCCTCCTCACATTCCCGGAATACGACCTCACTAAGCGTGGGGCCGAGGTTCTCAGCAGCGGCGGCGCTCGTATTAACGACGATTCGCTCGAGATGATCAATGGCATGTACGCTAAGAACATTGCACCGGGCCTGGGCGCTGGACGTATATATGAGCCCCGTATTTACGGCTTCCGCGTTTCCGAGATTGCAAAATCAGGCCCTCGGATGCAGTGGTTGAGGGACAGGCCGGATAGCATGACCGAACTGGACGAGGCGCGTCTGTACGCGGATGGACACCCCGATTCAGACGATGACGAGGAGAACCTGAACGGCAACGGCCGGCCTACGCCCCGTCGCCGTGCTCCTGGCAATGCGCGCCTCCGTGCAACGCAACGCCAGGCGCAGAATGGCAGCCCGATGGCTGTGGAGACGAACGGTGCAGAGTCGGAGCTTTAGGACTTGGTTTGGAAAACGATTCGTACTTATGGGACCGGTAGTCCTCCAAGGTTGGGCGGCGAGTGTGGCACCGCGCCAGGATGGAGGCAACAGGCCAGAGAGAGAAAGGTGTCGGTGCAGATCGAGCGAGACGGTCAATACGGCTGCTCTGCATAAGGTAGATGGCGTTTAGGAGGCACACCCCGATCTCCGTTGATGAAAGAGGCACGGCGTTGCTAAGGGGGATGCATTACTGAAGTAAACAACTCATGCCGTTACACGAACTCTGGTTTCAACTCCTTTTGCAGGCAATGGTGCCTGTTGTATAGGCTGAATGCGATGGCCATTGCATTTCTAGGCCTCGGGACACAGAATATAGACTGCATGCAATTCGACGGTCAAAAACAACGACTCTTCATCTCGCTCTCATCGCGATGCACGGAGACAATACCTCTACAAAACGGCTCGGCGGCAGATCTCCTTGTAGGTAGCGATGGCCCCCGTGAAAACCATATCCTGCCCATGGGGTCAGCTTCTCGATGTCCACGTTGCGTCTTTCCTTGCCCTGCATACTAGTAACGTATCACTGGCCTGGTAGTCTCCATCTCACCCCGCCCCCTCCTCCCACCTGCTCCTCTCCTCCCGGTCGCGTATTTCCCGGATCGCCATCATGCTTAATGCCCCAGACGATCCTCCTAGACCCACAAACCCATGCAGAATATATTCGATGAGAGGACTATACGGCCCCGGGTGAATGCTAGACAAATCTACGATCGAGCCTCTCTTCATTTATCCTATGCCTGCTATTTACCCGGATGATGTCACCCTGTACCAACGATGCGGGGACTCGAGCTAGGCTTGTTCGTTGGCAGATATCCCGAGCATGTTTGATGCGATTACCATGGCCTTCTAGTTCGCCTACAAGTCGCCCATCTAGTCTCGAATGTAACTACTGAGTGTCATATCTTGGAGAGAAGGGCATGTCACTTGCATTATAGTAGACATTATGTTTTCACTTGTAACATTGGCCGTGTGGCTGATGTGGCTTTCAGTGTCAGAGGGATCTAACTCGACCTTTTATAACCCAATAATCCCAGGATTTCATCCAGATCCTAGCTGTATATTTGTCCCTGAGTGGAATGATACCTTCTTCTGCGCATCCTCTAGTTTCAATGCATTCCCGGGTATACCACTCCATGCTAGTAGAGACTTGCAGAATTGGAAGCTAGTCGGTATGTTTCAATGACCTGTGAGGGTGAATACTTCATTAACATGGTCTAGGGCACGTCTTGAACAGGGAAGAACAGCTCCCTCGACTTGTTGAGACAAACCGATCCACAAGGCAAGTCTCTCGGGGTAGAAGAAAGCTTGCCGCGCCTGACAGAATTCAGTGGTATTTGGGCACCGACACTGCGCTATCACGATGATACGTTTTGGCTTGTTACGACTCTTGTAGACGATGATAGAGACGCGACAGATGCTTCGCGGTGGGACAACGTATGATCCGATCCACGTTCTTCTCCTTGACTCATCTAACTCAGTTCTCGGGTCCAAGATTATCTTCAAGGCGCAAGATCCTTTTAATCCGGAATCTTGGACCGACGCGGTCCATTTTGAGTTTGAAGGATACGATACGGAGCCATTTTGGGACGATGATGGTAAGACATACATCAATGGTGCCCACGCCTGGAAGATCGGGTATGTGTTATGGAAATGAGAGCGACCCTCGGAGGAAAAAACACAAACGCTGAAACGATACAAGACCGTGGATTCAGCAGGCGGAGGCCGATCTCAACACCGGGAAAGTCGGCGAATGGAGAACTATCTGGAATGGCACAGGCGGCATGGTCTGTGATGAGTCCTCTGGAGACTTCCTCAGGGCTGACATGGGAATAGGCACCCGAAGGACCACATATCTATCGTAAAGATGGCTACTACTATCTTCTGGCTGCCGAAGGTGATTCCAAATGAACATCCTGTGGGCTCCGAAAGCTAATGGCAAGTTGAAAGGCGGCACTGGGCTTGGCCATATGGTCACGATGGCCCGCTCAAAGAGTATTGGTGGTCCGTATCAGTCAAATCCATTGAACCCTGTTCTGACCAACGCCAATACTGCCAATTATTGTTAGCAAAGCGCAAAGAGTGCTCTCTTTCTAAGTTGGCTCTGCAGGCGAGGCTAACGGAGATCAGTTCAAACTGTCGGACACGCAGATCTACTTCAAGATGCCTCTGGGAATTGGTAAGGAGCTCCACCATTGTACTTCGAGTAGCTAATGAGAACCAGGTGGTGTGTTGCCTTGGGCACGAGATCAGGGCCAGAATGGCGCAACTTTCCAATGGGCCGAGAGACTGTCATGACTTCGGTAACGTGGAACGAGGGGGGATGGCCATACTTTACCCCCATCGAAGGGAAGATGAGTGGCTGGGAGATGCCGCTTGAGAATCTGGATATTGAAGGCCCCGGGTACGTATCACGTCTTTTCCCTCTCAAGAAGACTTCTGCTAACCAAGCTAGCCCATGGATCTCACTGGGAGAAAATGAAGGCGACGCGTTTGACTTCTCTCCGAATTCGGCCCTTCCAGCTCACTTCACGTATTGGCGGTATCCGATCGAAAGCTCATACATAGTTTCACCGCCTGAGAAGCCCAACAGCTTACGTCTGATACCCTCCAAACTCAACCTCACCGCTCTAAATGGGAACTACGCGGGTCCCGATGGCCAGACATTCATTGGAAGAAGACAGCAAGACACGCTCTTCTCTTATAGCGTCGAGCTTGACTTTCAACCAACCGAGGAGGAGGAAGAGGCCGGCGTTACGGTGTTTCTTACGCAGAACCATCACCTCGATCTCGGCGTTGTCTTGCTGCCCGCGAGCGCAAGTACGCAGGCCTTCCCTGGCCAGAATTTGACGACGGGGGGAAATCCGACTGATCTCAAGCTTCAACTTCGGTTCCGAGCTATGTCGTATGTTGCTGTTCCCACTGATATCGTGGCACCAGTACCGGAGGACTGGCTTGATAAACCACTCAGATTGGAGATTCGGGCTGTCAACATGACACATTACTCGTTCTCTGCTGGGCCAGCTGGGTCAGCTTTCCAGACCAAGACTCTTCTCTACGCCTCCAACGATGCGGTTAGTTGGGGTTTCACAGGTATGCCGCTTTCTCTTTCTGAATCAAAGCTTTCGCTGATAGCTCAACAGGTGTATTCCTCGGGGTGTATTCGACTAGCAACGGGAGGACAGGAAATACGCCTGCTTATATCTCAAACTGGAATTACACCCCCGAGGTGCAGTTCAGAGATTGAAAATCACCAACCAGATCGGACTTGTCAAAAGTTGGATATGTTTAAAAAGGAAGCTACAAGTAGATTCTCTGTACTGGTCCTTGTACACAGCAATCTTTCCAAACTCTCCTTCTCTTCGGTGATCAAGATCGCGGGTACACATTCACGTCAGCAAACTGACCCGGTCAATCATATGCTTTCTCTGGCAAGTTCCATCAACAACGGCAAGATGGCCGAGCGGTCTAAGGCGCTAGCTTCAGGTGCTAGTCAAGTAATTGGCGTGGGTTCGAATCCCACTCTTGTCATTAAGTTTTGCTGATGGAGATATCATCGAGGTATGACATATGCCTGGGGGCCGAAAACATTATATTCCCCTTAACGTTCACAATGATATCTATTCCGGGATATTACAGTACCCCATGCCTACCTTGAAGGATTGGATGTTCTATTTTGGTCTCTTGACCGCCTCCGATTTGAGTATATGGGGTGGTTAAGTACGACCTTGCCCATATTGTTCTCTAGCGGCCGCGATGGTCACGATTGTGGGACTAATCCATGATATGTTCCTTAAGGAAACAGTGTGGCATGCCCACGTCTAGATGTATGTTCAACATAAGGATGGCAGGAGCTGGCTCATAGAGAGTGTCGACACTTTCTTTGCATAGGCTGCTAACGTCATTAAGAAGCAATAGACAAGAGTAGAGCATCTGCAATTCCCTGGCTTTATTCGAGATCGACGCTTCGGCACACATGAGTCACTCAGCCGCTCGCGACCAACGAGCAGTTGGTCCGACGTGAGAGTCACCTCCACGTCCTCGGAGCAGCACTCCATGTCGCTCGTCGAGCAACTCGGAAGACGATGAAGGAAAGATATCACCAAACAACAGGCCAGCATGCTCAAACAGACAGAGTAATTCTCATAGTCCATGTTTATTGTTTCTACATGGGTGTACATAGTACAGTCCTTCCTAATCTAGCAGGTTCATCAATCAAAGTGAAGGTTAAGGGATCTATTGATATCCAGGTTAGCTAGTGCTTTCGTGCTAACAAGCGCTTGATTAAGTTTTGCTTCAAAGCTACATTCAGACTGTTGAGCTTGATAAATTGAATCAACATAGTATATTCTGTTGGCCGTTCTTAATGGAAGAGTTGATCATCAACGTAGCAACCCGCGATGGAGTCAAATTTGTTAAGAAAAAAATGAGATCGAATGCTTACCGAGCAGGGAAAATTCTGTGAACAGAATGTAGTGAAGTGAGTAAAAATCCGAGGTAAAGCCCTCGTGTCGCCTGAAGGCAGGATGCGCAGGAGATACCATGAACGATTTGAGTACTCTGATACAGTCGACCATTGGGATTCTCAAAAGAGATCGATACTCGGTTTGGTTCGTCCTTTATATCGAAGTGAGGAAGAAAGCCGCGACTGGAGAGAAACAGAAAAGATTTTTGTAGTCAAGGTCTCGGTGGTGCACGGCCCATGCGGAACGGGCTCGCTTACTTCAGATGATGGAGACAGTTGAGTTGAGCCTTAGGCAGATGGCGGCTCCCCATCAAGAACTGTTTAGCTGCATCTATCCCTCGAAACAAGAATCACCCCGCTATTTATGCCAGTATCTACCATATATCACTTGCACAATCGCATGCTGACAGTCGAAGCGGTTGCCCAGTAGGTTACAGGTGTCAGAAGTTCAGAACCCCACCATTAATACTGGGCACCCAAACCCAAAGACCAGGTAGGCACTGCCCTATGCCTAAAACCAGGAAGTTGCCCGACAGGTGACGTTAGGTACCTGACCACAGTGACCAAGTGCCCAAGCACACAAGGCAAGGTACCTTAGCCTCCCGCCTTCCATTGCGTGTGTGCTGTGCGCCGCGCCCCTGCCATTCGATTGTGTTAGTCTCCCCTCTTTGCCCACCACCACCCCTCCTTCGTTGCTCAGCCTGGCGACCGGCGAAAGCTCTCCTCCGACAAAAGTCTCGATCGCTTCAAACCCACCGTAAACAAACCGACCCCTCCTTCCGACCCGAAACCCCCTCGTCTTCAACACACCTATCCTCTTTCCAAATCAGACAAAATGGCGAACAGTAAGTAAGATGTGCACTCAACCGTCCCCGTCACTGCTGTAGCTGTTGTCTTTGCGCGTGCGCTCGCTCTGTGTGCTGCCCCGCATCTCCATGATGTTTTCGTCCTTTTTTTTGCGCTTCATCAGACCAAGAAAATAGATAGATAGCTAACCGATGCCTTTTCGCAGACTTCGAGGAAATCGCAAGTAAGTGTTTCCATACTCGATAGCCGAGATAGCCCGCACCGCAATGCCGTTTGCTTGCCCTTCTTCGACAAAGAAGACACTGACGGCCTCCACAACGCAAACAGAGCAGTTCATCGAGTTCTACTACAACCAGTTCGACTCGGACCGCAAGGGACTTGCCAGCCTCTACGTGAGAAATCTACTGCTACATAGTCATCCGGGCATTCACTGACAACGATGATAATAATAGCGGGAGCACTCTATGCTGACTTTCGAGTCTGCTTCTTCCCTTGGTGTCAACTCCATCGTTGAGAAGCTCACCGTGTGTACTCCCAAAGAGAATGCGCAAATTCAATGCGCCGCCTGCAGTCCCCTCACTGACCCCTTTACAATAGTCCCTCCCCTTCGAGAAGGTCAAGCACCAGGTCACCACCCTCGACGCCCAGCCCACCGCCGATGGCGGCATTATCATCCTCGTCACTGGCCAGCTTCTGGTACGTATATGACATGCCCTGCGGCTGTTCCACCGTTGCAACTCTTTATCTAACCCAAGAAAAATAGGTCGATGAGGAGCAGCGCCCCATGAACTACACTCAGGCTTTCCAGCTTCTGCGTGATCCCGCCTCTGGCAGTTACTTCGTCTACAACGACATTTTCAAGCTTGTGTACGGTGCATAATTCTCCACGCACTCTAGGAGAATACGATTTGATGAGGCCTAATATCTGATTTCGAGGGACCGGGCATAGCTTAGGGCAGGATGAAAGAATCTCTGTCTCCTTCGATTTCTCATTCCCATGAATCTACGCCGGGTTGAGGCGAGCACGTTGGCAAGGATACCATTTCACGTTTCCAGGAATCCCAAGACGGCTCTGTTCATACATGGCTCTTTAGAGAACTGGGAAAATACCCCTATTATTATCACATGAACTCAAAGACCTATTACGCCCCTTGATATCTTTGTATGACTTTGTGGCCTTGATTTTGCCTGTCATTCCGTTTCCTGCGCCTCGCATAAATTTCAGTACAAGAATGGAAACCCGAAGTTGGAAATCAAACATCGCCCCTCAAAGGCTATCTTCAGACAAGTGGTCACCGTATCTAGACGGCACCATTGGTGTTACATCATCATCGCTTTGCCTTTCTTTCCACCCTCAACGGACCTGCATGTGGGCGTCTCCGCTGTCACGGAACACGAGCTGAGCGTGTTGACCGCGGACGATCTCCTCTTCCCCACCTCCGTTCTTGATAATGCCGTTCCGATTGGCACCCGGGCCCATGGTTCCGAACCCAAGGTCGCGGATACGGCCACTCGCGATGTCGAAGATGCAGCCGTGGACAGTCATGCCTCGCTCTTTGATAGCCTCCTGAACGGTGAAGTTGGCCATGAGCACATTGACACCAGTCTCGACGTTCATCTCTGCGATACGGACAGCCTTGTGGTCCTCATTCTTGATGGCGTCGAGCTCCTTTGCGTTTTGAGCGCGGACTGTCTTCAAGGGAGTGAGCCAGGTATCGAGCACGCCTCCGACACGGGAGTCGCCCAACGCCGCCTTGGCACCGCCGCAGGCTGAGTGACCGCAGAGCACGACGTGCTTAACCTTGAGGTGGGCAACAGCGTACTCGATGACGGCCGAGGTGTTGATGTCTGTGGGGGCTACGATGTTGGCGATGTTGCGATGGACGAAGACGTCGCCGGGTTGGAGACCCAAGATTGTTGTCTCGGGAACACGAGAATCAGAGCATCCTAGCCACACTTTGTGTCGACATGCGTTAGCATCAGAGCTTAAGGAGGACGCTGGCATTGCAGATGAACTTACAGATTGAAGGCGACTGCCCCGAGGCAAGGTTCTTGAAGAACGCAGGATTCTGGTGTGATTTGTACCCAGCCCAAGCTTGGTTAGAGCTCAGGGCATAAAGGAACTTGTTCTCTTTATCCATGACGATGGAATGTCAGCATGTTGTCTTGAAGTAGGACTATTTGCCCAGGGAGGTGAGATTGTCGGGTACTTACGGTCATGGAAAGCCATTGTGATCGAATGTACACTGACGCAGCCGGACTCAATGTAAGAGCAACGCTGCGGGGTATCTAGATGAATTCGACTACGACTCGGTCGATAGTCGGGAGGACGCAATAGCTGATTCTAGTGTGCAAGCAGGAAAGTATTACGTGTTGCTCCTGTGTCCGGATGCTGTGTGCAGGCAACCTGGCTGAGACCTGCCCAGCTGCAGAGATAGTAATGATATATGAGACCCTTGATTGACGCTCGTTTCTGCTGTGAGGTAGAGAAGCCGGGCCGGTTCACTACTGGAAAGGAGGAGCTGATTTCTGACTGTACACACAGAGCACGACAGACGTCAAAGTTGTCGGACGTCCTTGGCTACGAGGTAGGATGCCGGGTCGACGTAGGTGGGAACACAAGGCCGCAGAATCGAATGTATGACAAGTGACTTCCTGTCTCGGCCGACGGTATGCGAGTTAAGCTGGTTGGGAGGGACTTTGGAGTCTGAGATCGAAGATGATGGTGGTGGTGGTGTTGGCCAACGCCGAATGCCGTAGTGTAACCTGGGGTTTTCGCGGACTGGTCGTGCCACTTGAGTATAAGCAAGATGTATTGAGCTAGTGATGCGTGACGAGAACAGGCATATGCAAAGAGATTCCGAGCCTTCAGCGAAGGAAGCAAGGATGATAATAGATAGAGGGGAAAGAGGGACGATCCAATGAGCTGAGTGAAGGAGAGTATGTGTGTGTGTGTGAGAGAGAGAGAGAGAGAGAATGCGTGTGTGAGAAAGTGTGGTATGTGAAGGGCGAACCAACCTATTCCAGAAAACTTGCGTTGAGATGAGCAGAGACTTGTGGTTGAGTTGGAGAGGGAGCGCCGAGGGAATGGTTGATCCAATGAGAGATGGTGTTGTTGAGACAATGTAAATGAGCTTCAAGATCAAGCTGAGCTGAGAGAATGGTAGTATCAGACAACGTAGTGGGCAAGCGAAATAGACTCGAGATCCTGCAGTAGGCTACATGCAGATATCATAAAATGTAAGGCCATGAGCACGCGGGGGGGCGAGACATGGAGGATATTATAAGTAGTATGGCGATGCATACTTGGGCGCTACCATACATGGAGTCGATGCATGAGACGAGAGCAGAGAGACACAGACAGACGGAACACCCCCCGGGTACCACCCGCAATCCTCTTGGCCGGGACCATGACCGTGACCATTTGGTGGAGAGCTCTCCGCACCTGGAGGCAGAGCCAAACACAGAGCCAGACAGAGCCAAGACTTTCGGACGAGTCGCCCCAGAGATTGACGGTGCCACACCCCGGGCATCACCAGGGACAAGTACACACGGCAGAAGACAGAAATAGGGTGGGGGGGGGGGGGGAGGGGAGACGGGAGAGAAAGACGGAGGGAAACTTGGGAAGAAGACACCATACCCCGGTCACGTCTTTGCGATGCGCACTATTTCGGGGTTGTGACCTGTGACTTGGGACGTTTGCGCTATGCCTCCGGCTAATCCACCACCCTGAGGCGGTGCGGTGTCCGCATGGCAATGGAAAGCATGGCCAGTGTTCACGGCATATGTCCTGGCTGCTATTCTTTAATGGACGGTTGTGTATAACAGAATCGGACTGAATCTAATCGATTGAAAACGCTAGCGAGGGCGCGCAGTGTATTATTGTCTCCGGCCACCGAGTGGGGGCTGAAGGACCGTCTCCGTGCGATGATCAGTCAGGCCCGGCCATCTCCGTCGGTCGGGCACTTATCTCCGTTCCAGCCCACTTGGGTCGTGGAGAATCTGACCGAGCCGCTGACAAGTTGAACTGTCCCTTTGACAGACAAGGGCAGTACCATAGTGAACCTTCCGTCTCTAATGCGCGGCCGCGGAATATGATCCATGCTCTCTGTCTTTGGGGCTACCAGAAGCCATAGGGAAACAGTTGAACCAAGAGCGACTCCCGGCTGTGAAACAGTGCTTGTCAGTGTCATCCCTCACAACACTGCCGTAAAGGCAAGGCATCCTTCGCAATCCCAATCCTTCCCTCGCTGATCTCCACGGTGTGATCGACGGTGATCTGACAGATTGGGTTCATGTCGCTATCTCAATCATAATGCAGACAGGACTGTTTACCAATGAGAAGGAGTATCGAGAGTCGAAGTTGTTGACCAGTTGCTCATCAATCCACAAGGAAACTCTTGGTTCACAGGAAGAACCAGTGAGGAAGAGAAATGCAACTAAGCTTTCTGGAAGAGGAGAACGGTATTTGGTGGTTGCTTACTAACCTAAAGCAGTTTAGCCAGCCAATGTAAGCTCTCATTGAATGTATGCGTGACAGCGTGATAGGTGCCGGGCGGGCACTCCCTCATGTTTCCCTCTCCTCTTCATAGGTAGGCTTACCTTTTTTTTACACCCCACACAGATTATAAGCCGCCGGGGCAATGGCCCGGTCGTATGAAGAGACAAAAGTCAACCTGACCTACGCAGAGTTGTAAATAGGCTGAGCACGTCCAGAGCTCGGGTCGCACTCGCAGTCGTGCTCTTTGGATGGACAGGGACATCTCTATGCCCGAAGTGGAAGCATATGGGTACACGAATGCCAAGAAATTCAGAACGTTTTCGATATCGCGGCCACGGCGACTTTGGAGTCTGAGGGAAGAACAAAAAAGGGGGGGAGGGGGCCTCTCCCATAGATAACCCGGGCCGGGGCCATTCCTACAATACCTACAGCTTCGGGACCTGAGACGGCAAAGCACATAACAAATGTAAAGCTGGCCCCGGGTCTGCATCCGGTCCAGGTCGCCCGACAATCATGGAATGCGCCGTCTTCCACGAACATTCGACAAGCGGGCGGGATGAGGATAGTTGCGGACGTGAAGGAAGAAAGAGCCAGCGAGAAACAGGGCTGTCTGTATTTACCAATCTGGGAAGATTGCTCAGCCCAGAATACAAAACGCGCAATGCACCACAAGGTTTACCGGCTTGGCGTGCAGCAGCTCTTCAGCGTTGCACGCGTGCAGAGGCCCTCAGGTTACCATACCGCAGCTATAATGAGAGCATGTTCTCAGACTTGGTTCTTGGCACTCTGTTGAGGAACCCAAATTTTTGCATCATCGTACGGTATTTCGATGGTCGATCTGGAGCACTACCGCACTTGGACCCTTGCGCCTCTCTCTGGGTTTCTCATCAAGTTGTGGGACCCCTGTCGTCGATCAACCCCACAGCCGACTATAGCTGGTTGTTTGTTAATTACTATGTACACTCGTTCTACAGAGTGGTCCTGTAGTATCTCACGCTGTCGCATCTCGCCATATGTGACTTGCCAAGACTTTTGAGAGAAAGGCCTTCGGTAAATACAGAGTATGACTACGGCATCCATGGACGGACATACCCGTCCGTCATAATAATGGGTTGACTTGGCCTTTGTATGACTGCGCCGTGAGCCCATGGCAGACTGCCATCAGATAAGACTTGACAACTCCATAATCCACAGGAAGGGCTTCAGTAGTCTTTAATTTCCTTACAGTAATGGGCTTGAGTTATTCGCAAAAAGACTTAGCCACCGGTATCTTTACAACCCACGAACTGTCAAGTTTCACATCATTGCTGAGAATTTGGCAGGATTGAAGAAAGCGACATGTCGGATTGGGAGTAAAGGGGTCGGGAGGTCACCATGTCATGAGAGCAAAGCATGAACTTGAAACCCAATAGAATAATCCCGACGCCATGCCAAATTTTTATGATCCGATAGCCTCCAGTGGCCTAGTCTCCTAATACACTAAAGTAGTCCGGGTACTGTTCCATCTTAGACCTTGATGGCGTTGTCAAGAGCCTTCTGCTTCTTCTCGGTGCGCTTCTGGGCCTTAGCACCCATGATACCACCACCCCACTGCTTGCGAGCGCTGTCGGTCTTCTCCAAGTATCCGTCCTTGATGGCGGAAACAAGCTTGGAGAGCTCGCTCTTGTCCTCGGAGCGGACCTCGGTGAAAGCGAGGACAGCGGCAGTCTATGATCAGTCAGTAAGCCGCAACAACAACATCTGTGACAACCGAGTAGACATACCTTCTTGTGGACGACGGTTCCGAGGCGGGCCTTGCCCTTGATGATGGCGAAGGGGACACCCATCTTGCGGCAGAGGGCGGGGAGGAAGATGACCAACTCAATGGGATCAACATCGTTGGGGATGAGGACGAGGGAAGCCTTCTTGTTCTCGATCAGGCCAACAACGTGGTTGAGACCGTACTTGACAGTGTAGGGCTTCTTGGAGACGTCCTCCTTCTTCTTGCCGTCCTTGACGGCGGTGGCCTCCTTGACGAGACGCTCCTTCTTCTCGGCCTTGGTCTCAGGGCGGTACTTGTTGAGGAGCTTGAAAGCCTGGGCGGCAGTGTTACGGTCGAGGACGTGCTGGAACTGGGCGATCGCAGGGGGGACCTTGAGGCGCATGTTCAAGATCTTCTTCTGGCGCTGAAGACGGACATACTCGGGCCACTTGACCATGCGGGCCAAGTTGCGACGGGGCTGGATGTCCTGGCCGATGCCGAAGTTGCGGGGCTTGCGCTCGATGAGAGGGTTCTGCAATCATTGTCAGCCATCTATGGAACTGCGCGCGCAATCATGGAGAGAATATGTACTGACCTTAGGAGCCTTCTTGGAGCCAGCCTTTCCCTGAGGGAAAGGGGCGGGAGCCACCTTCTTACCGGACTTGGGAGGCTATCATTGAGAAAGCAAGACATCAGTGAATTGTTCAAATCAACTTGTGTCTTCCTTTAACTCTAAGGAGAAGGACGGAGAAGCATTGGAAGTGAATCCAACACTTCACCATCCTTTCCAGCCAAATCATCATCAACGGCCCGTCCCCGCAAGCAAGCTAGCCAAGGACCGACGACCGAGACGGAAAATCGCAGTTCGCATAGCAGCGAAACTGGATGGAGATTGGCCTCGAGGGCAGATGAAGTCGTCTTCGTTCAATTTGTACTCACCATTTTGTCGGTTGTCGTGATACTGCCTTTGGCGGGGATGGATGAAGAGAAGGTCAATGTGCAGAAACACAAATTTCGGGAGACGAGGATAAGACGTTGTTGGTGTGGGCGCGAAAAATTTGGATTAGGGCAAGATAGGGTGGGTACCCGATAAGAACATTTATGGAACATGGTCGCGTATCTGCACCGTACTGCAGGTGGGGAACCCGCACCGCTAGGCTTATCTCCACGTGATGATCGCTTTCCGACGATAAGTGACCTGAAGGCTTGAAGTTAGGTAGGTAGGTACTTTAACAAAGGAGTGCGCGGAACAGCCTTAACAGTGACGACAGGGTAGTGGACCCCACTACGAGGGATGATGGAATGTCACTTTTGCGCCAGACAAAATAGTTCACAGAGACCCGAGCACCTGATTGTTGGTCGTCTTGTTCACCACGATTGGACCGACTCTTAAAGTACCCACGACAAGTATTTACGCCCATCCTGAATCAATCTTCTGCTGGCATAGGTAATTACCCGTTTGGCAGCTCAAGCGTGCAAGCTAGCAGGCAATGCAAAATGGAGACAGCAGTATCATTACGAATAAGATCCTCGTCTCTTGTTTCCTCATAAAACCCAGTCTTTTTTATTCCTGGTTCACTCAGGAGGGATGCAAAGTTGCTGGAGCAGACGATTGTAATGCATGGCAAAGCGAACGAGGAGTATTTCACAGAGAAATTCCCGTCCCATTTCTGCACTAAATGACAGTACCCGTGTGGTAGGTATCTTGCCCACTAAGTGATGGAAGATCCAGGCACGGAATTCCGCGTTGCGGTACGTACCTATTGCACCGACGATGATGACTCCAAGGTCATCAAAGCGACACGGCGACACATGCTATTCTTAAATTTTCCTTAACTTCGATCTAGCAACAACAAATTCCTTTTCTGATCCGACCCCCTAGACCACTCTTCCCCCGGAATACATGTTACGTGGAGAAACACAAGCCCACGTTCACTGCGTTCTCGACTTTCCGGTTCAGCTTAATTTTATCCTGTCCGATCCACCGCGGGGTGTCAATTTCGAAGTTCGTCGATTCAACTGAGGCGACGGTTTCTCCAGCGCGAAGTGGCGCTAAACCTCTGCCGCCGACACGACACTATTTCTCTGGGACGCCTCTCGTATCGCTGGGGACCTACTTATTCCTTCCTCGTGGTGCAGCAATCAAAATGGCACCGGTACTATGCGCAAAGTGCAAGACCGAACGCGCTCTCGTGAAGCGGCCCAAGAACCACCAGAAACTTTGCAAGGCTTGTTTTATCTCAGTGTTTGAGGAAGAAGTACATCACACTATTGTCTCTTCCGCACTGTTTTCTCGGGGAGAACAGGTAGCTATCGGGGCTTCGGGTGGCAAAGACTCCACCGTTTTGGCAAGTGTTCTCAAAACCCTCAACGACAGGTATGACTACGGCTTGAACCTTGTACTCCTCAGCATCGATGAGGGCATCAAGGGTTATAGAGATGATTCGCTCGAAACCGTCAAGAGAAATGCCGTGCAATACGACATGCCCCTTACTATAGTGGGGTACGACGAGTTGTACGGCTGGACGATGGACCAGGTTGTCGAAGTGATTGGAAAGAAGGGCAACTGCACATATTGTGGTGTATTCCGCCGACAGGCACTGGACCGAGGCGCCAAGATTTTGAACATTAAACATGTTGTCACCGGCCACAACGCAGATGATGTGGCTGAAACCATCCTCATGAACCTCTTGAGAGGAGATTTGCCACGGCTAGGTCGCAGCACAAGTATCGTCACTGGCGACGACACTAGCGATGTCAAGCGCAGCAAGCCCCTCAAGTATTCTTACGAGAAGGAAATTGTGCTATATGCTCATCATAAGAAGCTCGACTACTTCAGTACCGAATGCATCTACAGCCCCGAAGCTTTCCGTGGAACTGCTCGCACCCTGATCAAGAACCTCGAGCGGGTGCGGCCAAGTGCTATTTTGGATATAGTCCGCAGCGGTGAGGATATGGCTCGGCTGGTTGCAGGAGCATCAGGCAGCTCTTGCGCCGGCAAAGGAAGTACTCCCCGTGTCGCTGAGGATGACTTCATTGCTGGCTGCGGCTCGCAGCAAAGCAAAGGCCTTGCAACCGAAATTGCTCAACTGGATGCAAGCTTGAGCCAGACAAATCTGACCAAATCTCAGGAGACAGACTTCACGACTGCTCCTTCACCTTCGTCAAAGATTGGAAAGAAGATTCAGAATTCGTCTGAGACGCCCAGACCGAGACATGGCCAAGCACAGGCAACTCCGAGTGCTCCATTACAGACATTGGGCAAGTGTGAAAGATGCGGCTACATGTCTAGTCAAGCCATCTGTCAAGCCTGTCTGTTGGTGGATGGGCTGAACAAAAACAAGGCGCAGATTAGCTTATAGAGATAATAAGATCCTCATCCCAAGCCAGAACTAGCAGACATTTACAATGTTTGTCTGTGGCCCGCCTCCCACCCCTCCACTCGACGTAACCGGCACGATCAAGTCAACAATCGCATAGACTGCGGCAGTAGTTCTGAGACTGAACAGGAAATAAAAGTTTCATTGGGTGGCTGAAGTGGGTGATGAATAGTGGAAACCCCCATGGTTTCCAGACAAAGTAGCATACATGTTTCTAGTTGAACCTCATCCTCTATGTCATACGCTTCTCCAACTGCACGTTACGATTAGCCAATGTTCAGCCATCTGTCGCAAGCAAATACATACTCTCCAGGGGTGGTTCAGTTCGAAGCCCGGAGGCGCTTCGTGGTTGGCAATCTGTCCCCGCAGATCGCCCGTGAGTCTGCGATCCCGGTCCATCACTGTTAAACCTTCAGGTTAGCTTTCGATCGAACAGTAGGATATTTTTCCTGTCGGTTGGACACGTACTTTGCTGTAAGGAAGCGAGGTTAGCGACGTGAATATCGAAGGAGTGCCAGTTCACGAATACTTACCCTATCCCACTGATCCAAGCCCCAACGGGGCTTCTTTCCGCCGTTCTGAATGCCCTTGATGACGTGCAGTCCGGTACCGGTGATACCGAACATCTAATACGACGTTAATTTCCATCGTGGAGGTTGGAGTCGTCTTGCGCCGGCACAATGGCAATCACAAGGTAGCTCTTACAGCAATCATGATTCCATAGGGAATCAGGGTTTCGAAAGGAACGGGCATGGTAGCGGATAGCCGTTCGGCTGAGCGTCGTTATTCGTCGGTTTGTATGTATCGAGAGATCGCAAGGCCGACAAGAGACACAGCTTGTAGTCGTCGGTGTCTACGGGAGACGTCGTTGGATTCCGGCTTCCTTGAATTGACTGACCAATTGATGGAAGCAATCCGCAAGTCGTCGGGCCCTCGGACTGGTTATTTCTGGATCACGTGATATGTAGTTCGCGTCAGTGCTTTTGCGATCAGAATGATTGGCTGAGCATTGTGAATGGTCCCGACAGCTTGCCATTGGTCACTGTGGAAGTTATTCAATGGAAGTGGGAACCTTCCATCTGTTGTTTCCGTCCCTGACACGCCTGGCAAAAGCTCCTCCCCCAAGGTTGCGTTTCGCGAATTGAAGCTCGTAGCAAGTGGCTAGCAGGTAGCTACCCAGGTACTCCGTAGGAGGCGCCTACCTACCTTAGGTACCTCCACTGCCTTGCCGTCCCACACCCCGTGAACCCAGGTGCATGTCGCACATACCTACCGTGGGAACCTAACCTCTGACCCAGGTGGTGCAGACACAGTGCTCAATTAACTGATTACTGTACGCGCCACAGGTGTGGAAGTCGCATCCCTTGGCTTGCGCCAGTCTGTTGATTAGGTATCTGCGCCTTGGACAAGACGTGAAAGCCATTGCTGGCTTTTCTACAGTCGCCGAAGAACCTGTGTCAACCATCTAGTAACGCGTTAAGTCCTCTGCCCAGAGACAGCATTCGAGCTGTACCAACGTCAGTGCATGTTTGCCGCGCATCGTCGCCTAAGGCTAAACGCGCTCACTTCTATCAACAACATTCGCTCACGGCCAGCCGATTACCACAGTTGTGCGCCAGACTCGCTCGATCCTTTGGTTTTCTTGCTAGCTATGGGCTGCGAATACCGGAATCTTGTCATTCACGGGCGAAATTCGAAGCAATAGCTCTGATAAACGATTGCAACCCGCACACTCCCGCGATCTTCGAGCTTCGACGACAAGATGGCAAGCGCTCAACTCACCGAAGAAGAGCTGCAGCAGAGCGCTCTTCTTTCAGATGAAGATGCCGACATCGAAGACGCACCAGCAGTGCCCGTCGAAAAGTTGCCTCAGGATACCGAGAGTCCCTTGACGAACCCAAACACGCACGATGACGAACTCTCGGATGCGATCGGCGATGAAGACGATGAAAGAGACGCGCCTACCTTGGACGGGGACATTGAAATGGCTGAGAATGCGGACGATAATAGCGAACTGTCCGAGCAGGACTCTCTAGAAGAGAACCTGGACGAGTACTCTGGCGTCGACATGGATCAGCGCCTGGAGCAAGACGATGGAGACGAAGCTTCGGGCGGTGCGCGCAGTCGCAGCAGCAGCTTGCTAGATGACATTGAGGAAGACGAGGCAGAAGGTGTTGGCGCTGTTAAGATCAGACCAGGCGAAACCGATGATGAGGACGCAGATGAGCCGGACAGCGAGCACTCGGAATCGCACAGTGAGTCTGGAAACGAATCCGAAGGAGGCGAAGCATGGGACGACGTCGCTGTCGAGGAAGAAGAAGACGAAGACGAAGGTTCAGAAGACGCAGCGATGAACACCTGCATGTTCTGTAAACAAGATGAAGAACATGATCCGGCAGAAGACTTCGAAGAGTACTTAGCTTGCGTTGGATGTGGAGAGAACTGTAAGTGCTCTACATCACATGGCGGAGAAATACCGCGTAGAAAGCTGACAGTATCTATTTAGCACACCAACATTGCGCCAGAGAGGCCGGCGCGTTGCAGGAGTTTAATAGTACATACTCCCTCCTCCGTCAAGCCCTATTGTGTCTAATCTTTCCTTGCAGCTGCTTCTCAGTGGAAGTGCCCCGATTGCGCGACTGCTGATGATATGCGTGCCGACGAGTCTCAAACGAATGCTTCTCCTGAATATGCAGAAAAGCTTGAAGCTGAGCAAGAGCCAGACGCTGAGCACGAACTTGGACTGTCTCCGTCGTCCAGACGGTCAACGGCATCCCAAGTAGCGCGAGACCTGCTTCCGCCCCAAAAAGGCACCTCCAAACCTGACTCTCACTCGGTGTTCAATCATCTTCTCTTGAACGACGATCCCATGGATGGAACTCGAGTTCTTCGTAAGCGCAAGACGTCTTCTGTCGAAGCTGAGGAAATCGTTATGTCGCTCAGGAAGCGTCGACGAAACACGTCCAAAGATAGGGAATCAAGCCATGGTACAGGCACATTACAGGACGGCGCCAATGGAGCTGGGGAGAAGGATACACGCCGCACACTACGTATACACCCCCCTCGAAAGTCAAAAGCGGTTACCATCACTCGACGGAGCCGGTCCATCGTTGTCAAGATACGTGTCAAGCCAGCCGCCCTTCGCCGCGTACTGTCAAGAAAGTCCTCGTCCAATCGAAGAAGAACAGAGAAAGTGATAGACACAACGGCTTCGTCCCAGGATGGATTGGCTGCAGCCATGGCAGCTTCTTTTACTTCCACTGACTACTCACATCCCTTCTATTCCTTCTTGGACCGGGAAACCGACGACGTAAGAACAAAGCCATACGGAGGCATTCTCAGCGAGAACGAAGCAGATACATCAAGGACTTTGCCGACCAATGATGATCGCCGAAGATTCGATGAAGCCAAGCAAAAAGCCGAGGAGGTATGGCGAGCTCGTCTCCACAGTATCCAACTCAACCTAGCGACACCGGCCAAGAGGCCCAAGAAAAATGCTGGACCAGCGAGCCAAATCGAGTGCATCGATTTTGGAGGCTGGGAAATCGACACTTGGTATGCCGCTCCCTATCCGGAGGAGTACAGCCGGAATCGCACTCTCTACATTTGCGAATTCTGTCTGAAGTACATGAACTCGGATTATGTCGCCTGGCGTCATAAACTAAAGTGCCCAGCCAAACATCCACCGGGCGACGAGATATACCGGCATGGATCCGTTTCGGTCTTTGAGGTTGATGGCCGAAAAAACCCTGTCTACTGCCAGAATCTGTGTCTCCTCGCCAAACTATTCTTAGGGTCCAAAACGCTCTACTACGATGTTGAGCCGTTCCTATTCTACGTATTATGCGAATACGATGCTCTTGGCTACCACTTTGTTGGTTACTTCTCCAAGGAGAAACGAGCCAGCAGCCAGAACAATGTTTCTTGCATTCTAACCCTGCCCATACACCAGCGAAAAGGCTACGGTAATCTCCTGATTGACTTTTCATACTTGCTCACTCGCGTAGAGCGCAAGACTGGATCACCAGAAAAGCCTCTTTCGGACATGGGCCTCGTCTCCTACCGCAACTACTGGAGGCTGGTACTCTGCCGGTATCTCCTTGACCATGTCGAGGAGGATAAGTCTACGGCACCGGGCCTCAGTGTTCGGCAAATGTCCGACGATACCGGACTGACTCCTGACGACGTCATCTCTGCCCTTGAAGGTCTCCGATGCCTCGTCCGTGATCCAGTTACGGAGCTCTACGCCTTCCGTGTCGACCTTTCGTACTGCAACGACTACATAGCAAAATGGGAGAGCAAGGACTACGTCAAACTGAATCCAGACGCGCTCACCTGGACTCCGTACGTCATGGGGCGTGGCAATGCTACAAACTTTGAGTTGGGTCCAGCTATCAGCGCGATTGCGCCACGAGAAGAAGATGACATTCACAAACCTGTGCAGAGTGTGCCGCTACCAGCCTCTCAACAAGAGGCAGCAGCCAATGGCATTATCGACAACACTCCCGTTGCCGAAGGCGGTCCATCGAACATCGCTGAGGAGACTGATACAGAAGCGACTGGGCCGAAGTTGGAGTCCAATATTTTTGAATCCACGGAGTCACATCCAGACGGTCTGACGAACGGCGAGACTGGCCTAGAACAGGCTGAGGAAGAGCCGTCCCAGCTCAAGGAAGCGCTTCAGTCTATTCCCGAACAAATGGTCGGAGGCGACTGGGCCAGCCTGTACAAAGACGTACCTCCATCGAGGTTCGAGGTATATCCGCCTCCGGGGGGTCGACGGTCCGACCGGCCGCGACCCAGTGTACCTCGGCCTGTCGTAGCACGAACAACGAGCAGCAACTCCAGACCGCGACGTTCGGGCGGTGGCAGCAGCGCGAGACGAACCACATCAAGCCGACCCAAGAGTAAAAGCTCATCGTCGTCATCACGGCGTAAAACGGGGGGAACGGGACGTGGACCGGGCCGTTGGCCGAAGGGTACTAAGAAAAGCGATTACGGTAATGCCGATAGTGGGCCCGGTCTCCCGCCGGGCTGGCTTAGAGAGAAGCAAGAGAAACAGCGGCTGGCTGGCCTTGCTGTGACCAATGGCGAAGAGGCCGAAGGACTCACCATCGAGGGCAACGAGACAATGGATGTGGTTCGCGTGCAGTTCCAGGAAGGGGAACACGAGGACGCTAGCGCCGAGGGAGCAGCAAGCAAACTCAACGGTGACGTTGGCGGCCAAGCAGAGGACGAGTGATGCCAAACAACCGATACCCCCTTACACTATTCATATTCCTAGTCTCATGCGAGCCGACTTGTACCATATTGTCTTTTTAGTAATGCCAGCGCTGCAACTAATTGTGTTCTATTTTCATTTTTCTTTTTCGTCTAATCGAATACTAGTGAGACGTATTCAACCAGTGTCTTTACTGTGGACGAAGGCAGCTCAAGAAGGAGTGGGTAGTACTAACAACTTTTGCAATTCTTGAAAACCCCTTTAATTTTGTTTACCTATCTGCAGGCAGGCAAACCTAAATTAGAGGTTGGCATTACTGAGCATTGAGATGTGGCTGATTGAAGGCGCGTCTGGTTCTTACTCCTGTGACATCCACGGTTGTCAGCCACATAGTCAACCTCGCCCTAGCCTCTTTCCAGCATTCTCCGTTATAAGGAGACTGGTTGTCACGCTTCCTATCCGGACCGTCCCTCTCAAATACGTCTCCGGCCACCTCACATGACCTTGCGATAGTATGCATCCGTATCCATTCTGCTCAACACCTCAACCGTAAAGGAGCCGAAGCTAAATTCACTCAGCCTCCCTTGATGACATGGCCGTAGCCTCCGATTTGGCCACCTTCTTGCTTTCATCCAATCGCCGAGTTACATGCCTTCTCAGTACGCGCAAGCACGTGATAAAGTCTTTGTCTACGTGACACAGAGGGTAGATGGGCAGCAACACATTTTATGAGAAGATGATTCTCGAGTGAACATGGGAGTGAGGGTGTAGGCGTGTGATAGAGCTGCAACGATGGAGGTAATACCTTAGTAAGAGCCGAACAGGTCGGTAAGCTGGTACGGTAGCTTAGGTAAAATGTCTGCCCATAGGTAACCTGGAAATGTCAGGTTGGCAAGGTTGGGTCCGGCATCAGGGTATCCGCCCGCCCCGTATCCGTCGGTGAGGTGTCGCTGATGGGGTCTGCTTGTACCTTAACCTCAAAGCACATGCTTAAATACCTAGGTCAGGTAGGTAGCTTTTTTGATCGCCTGCAACATGTGAGGTAAGGTACTTGTCGGAATGAAGACCTGCAGAGGCACATCCTGTCGCATGTTGTTCGAGACATAAGGTACCGCCAGCTTTGCGCTACCGAAATGGAAGTACGGGCAGCCGCTACACAAATTGACAAACGTTAATTTAGACGAAGTGCCTCATGCCATATCTACTCGGTAGCCTGGCATTTTCTGTAGACATCCACGACCTCTTTGAGTTGACTTGCCATCCAGGTGAATGAGTGCTAGGTACCTTACCTTGAGACCTTGGTTGTCAGGAAAGGTAAGGTATTTTGTACTTTGTGCCGGGGCAAGGTACGGATACCTTTACCGACACAGCCTTCTGGCTCCACACTGAGGTAACTTCTATGCGTGGGACAGGCCTGGGAGGAGACTGCTCCAGCGCTCCAAAGTCTTGGACCTCCGAGTCGCAGTCTCCGTCTCCGACCGCCCGGCCAAGTTGCATTACGCACACGCACTCGCCGCACCGCCAGAGACATGAAGTGTGACACTCAGGTCGTCACTCCCGCCCCAGTGCCAAGTGCCCAGTGCCCAGTGTCAAAGTCAGTGCCCAGTGCCAACCGAACCGGGACCTTTCTGTCTTTTTGCCTTCCAAGTTCCACGTTGCTTTCTCAAGTCGCTCATCTTTGACAAACTTTAATGCTTCACCTTCAGAACTTCCATCTTCCGACAATCGCGACGCTCTAGGCACAAACAAGCGCCATCTTCGTCGTCAAAAATCTACCCACTAGCCAGCTAGGCACTCCGTCTCCGTCTCTCAGTTTGCTGGGCTCCGCTATCCGCCGTCATCTGGCCTGCCTCCTCACCCCAACCACTGGCGAAGTCGGCCTTGCGACCCGTTCATTCCCCTCCGCCGACCCTTCGTCTGCCAACGCTCTGTGCTAGGCCGTCCTTCGATTCGTTGGACCAAGCTGTCGTCACAAGCGCCCCTCCCACCTCCAACCTTTGCCTTCCATCCATCATCAGCTTGTCTCTTCGCTGCGCTTTTATCCAACCCTCTGACAACACTGTCAATCATTCTGCGTGCTATTGCTCGTCGCATCAGCAATCAGCAATCGCCTGCGTTGGGCCCAAGCTCTCCGTTGTTGTCGCCCTAGTCGCACCCAGGTACATCGCGTCTGTCGTCACTATCTTCCAGCGCATCCGACAGCCCACTTTCTCCCGAACAATACCCAACCTCCCTTCCTCACGGGAACCGGACTTGGTATCGCCTACCAATCCATCGCACACCACCTACTGACAAAACAACACCCTCGGACGGGCCGACGACCAAAACACCGCCAAAATGTCCAAGGTTATGCGAAGTGTCAAGAACGTGACCAAGGGTTACTCCAGTGTCCAGGTCAAGGTTAGAGAAGGTGAGTCGCAGATCTCCCGAGCATTCGTCCTCCTTGGAACCCATCCTGACACTCGTTTTTAGCAACCAGTAACGATCCATGGGGTCCTACCGGAACTCAGATGAGCGAGATTGCTCAGCTCACGTACAACACGTAGGCTTTTCCCTTCACCGTCGATTATGGGAGTCCGCTAAGTTTACATTTCAGATCTACCGAGTTCTATGAAATTATGGACATGCTCGACAAGCGTTTGAACGACAAGGGAAAAAACTGGAGGCACGTTTTGAAAGCCCTCAAGGTGCTCGACTACTGTCTGCACGAGGGCTCCGAGCTTGTCGTGACGTGGGCGAGACAGAGCATCTACATCATCAAGACATTGCGCGAGTTCCAGTACATCGATGAAGACGGTAGAGATGTTGGCCAAAACGGTATGCGCCCCCTCTACTATTCCTAGTGCATTCACTTTGGTCAATTCGCGAGGTTTCTGACAGTGACCAGTACGTGTTGCCGCCAAAGAACTTACGTCTCTCATTCTGGACGAAGAGAGGCTTCGAGCCGAAAGAAGCGATCGCAAGTCATGGAAATCCCGCGTCACAGGGTTAGAAGAATTCGCTCCTCAGCATACCAGCCCTACTCAACCGCGAGTCCGCCGCCGCATGAGCAACGAGGACGATACCGAATACAGACTCGCTATTGAGGCTAGCAAGCATCAGGAGGAAGAGGACCGCCGGAAACGAGCCGGCCGCGGCGCCAACGAAAGCGAGGATGATGACCTAGCTAAGGCGATCAAACTTAGCAAAGAGGAGGACGAAAGGCGCAGACGAGAGATGGAAGACAACAACGCCTCGCTCCTCTTCGACGACACCCCCGTCCAGTCAACGCAACCGCAGTACACTGGATTTAACCAAGGCTATCAGCAAGGCAGTGCTGTGGACTTCTTCGCCAATCCCATCGACCAGAACCAACTTCAGACGCAACCCACCGGTTACATGAACAATGCGTACACCGGTTACCAACAGCCGCAGGCGACAGGGTTCCAGAATGGCTACGGCGGAAATGGTTTCGGCATGGACCCCTACGGACAGCAACAGGGCATGCAAGGCTTCCAGCCGCAGCCAACGGGCTACAACCCTTACGCCCAGCAGAACATTACCCCTCAGGAGACAGCCTCGCAGCCAGGGAGCAACAACCCGTGGTCGACCGGTTCGATGAAGGCGGGCAACCCAATGAAACCAATGCAAACGGGTTCCAACAACCCCTTCGCGTCCTCATTTGGCCGCCCGCAGACGCAAAATTCTATGCCCCCCTTGCCAGAACAGAAGACACTCTCAGCTTTCAGCCAGCCCAGCTTCGCTCAGCAGCAGCAGCAACCGCTGCCTCAGCAACCTCAGCAACCTCAACTCACATCGCAGCCGTCCTTTGGAACCCCGCAGAAGGAGCTTACGGACCACGAAGCCAAGCTCAATGCGCTGCTTGCTGGGGGAGACGGTATGGACACATACGGCAACACCGGCCAGACACGTATTCCAGCGCAGCACACTGCACCTGGGACCTTTGTCAACAGCGCCGGCTCTGGTGCCCAGCGACTTACTGCAGAGGCAACTGGAAGCAACCCTTTCCTCCGATCACAATTCACAGGCATGCCTAGTATGTCATATGGGCAGCAAATGCCGGCTGCCACAGGTCCTGCAGGTATCAATGGCAGCAACAATCCATTTGCGGTCGGAAGACCACAGCAGCAAAACACGCAGCCGCAGGACCTCATTCAGTTTTAGGTCACCGTGTCACGTGGGGATATACTACGAGGCTGACGTGGGCGCTTGATCATCGGCGCTGTTCAAGCCAACGAATGTTTGTACTGAGGCTCAAAAGGATTTTTTTTTTTTTTTTAGAGTCTGGGGGATGCAGAGGTTCTTACTTGCGGTGCGGTCACATACCCGGCAGAGGACTCAACTTGTTCCTGTTCATAGTTGGCCGGCGGTTTGCTTCGATTTACATTTACACAGCTTGCCTATAGCGCTCTTCAATGAGCCATTTATGATCTTTGAAATTTTGCCACAGCATGTACCACAACCCGATGTTCTGTCACCCGCCAACGATCTCAGTGATGAGCAATGGAGGGGTTTAACGTCGTCCCATGATGATTGCACAGTACCATGCTTTTCATGCAAGATGATCACGGTTAGCACCTACACCCAGTAACCATCTTGGCCAGAAAAGAAAAACTGTTGGGTTTTCGCTTCTGCCAAAGGGGCACGGCGAGTGTGGCAGCCTAGGTAGATTTATAAATGAGTACCAACTGGCTGTGTATTCATAATGGAGAGGCAGGTTTCTGACATATGCACAAGGTCCAGACTCTCCCTGTTTTCAACGGAAGACCACTTGACCAATTGGAACGAATGAAGAGAATCTCAAGTAGTAAAAATTCCTCGGGAAACATGCATTTGAGTGTATGAATCAACGTCAACAGCGAAAACGTGATCTGATGACCTAGCAGGCGTTTTCGTGGAAGTCGTCTATGCCCACGATGTAAGAGATGCAAAGGTACCATTACTAATAAAACTAGGCGTAAGCTACTTGCGGGTGGCTCTGCCTACAACTGCCTGGAACAGGATTCTAGCTTGATCATTGG